ACGGTTACAGTGGAACCCATGGTGCTGAGGGCGACAACATGGACTGAATCAAATAGGAAACCATGATTTGCCATATGATTAAGTCATCTTATCGACTTTCCTCTCTCCCAGTATAAACATGATGTATGATATCCCACATCTTGCTATTTTATTTATGTATCCTGTCTTCACTGGGTAAGTTCAAATGAGTAGTTTATCATTTTAATACAACCAAATACCCTCCCTGGTAAAGCAATACAAAACATGATTACGGTTTCTTCGACCATTAGTACCTGGACCGCCACATATTGGTGGTCCATGTAAATGCTGATTGGTTGGTTACGGCTTCCTCCACAATCAATACATAGACCAGTGCTTGTCAACAGGATGTATAGTACACCCCAGAGTGTACCAAAAAGTTCAAAGGGTGTACCGTACCGAATGTTGTAGGGTACACACTAACACATGATATGCTAATTAAATACGCTATGTTAAGGGCAATGGTAATATGTATCTAACTAACCTATACATGTTAATTTATGCATAGCGTATGTTTGGCATTTGTGATATCTGCGTATCCTGATTTTAACGTCACAATAACATCTGTAGCAGTTTGATACTTTTTAGTGGTGCTCCTGTTAGACTGTGAAGCTTCTGACACTAGACGATATAGTCTACTAATATGAGAGAATGTCGCAAGGCTGTTTACTGCGGCCGCTCTTAAATGAGTTTGGGCTTAAGCATGTTTCTTGATTTTGGTGTGATTGGGCCATCTACGTCCGAAGGTTGATTTTTTTATCGCTCTTGCGCTCTGGTGGACATAGATTTGTTTATGTTTTGTAAACAATATCTTTGCTACTGGCTTCGGGGTTCGTTGTATTATTTTGTCGTGTCTATGTTATTTAGCGTTTAATAAAATAACACTCAATAAATTTCGTCTCTGCGAATCGGTTAAAAATTCTGATAAAATTGACTTAGTGGCATTTCTCCACATTCAAATTAATATATCCGTTGGGAAATCGTAGAAATGTTAAATTATTAGGAATTTGTATTGAGGATTTGAAATTTACAAAACGTGCTACTGAAAAGTTGTTGAAATTTAGGTGACATTGGCGCACATTATCCTCATTTAGGAATTGAAACAATCATTGCCACTGGAAACTAGTAACTGAAAAATATTATAACGCAAATATAACACTCAACTTCAACATCTTTGTCTTCTGCTATCAAAAAGTATGTGCAGATTCCCGTGTGTTCGTCAAAAAAACCGCAAGCGCGTTGTGTTGTACAAGCGTTTTATTCAGCAACGCGCAGGTGAAGTGCCATGTTCAGGCCACGTGTTAAGTAAGCTGCAAAAATAACACTCAATTTTGACGTCTTGGCTGGTGATCAAGTTTGGTAAAAACGTTTGCGGCCCGCAATAATTTTTCGCATGTGACAGTGGCCCGCGACACTATAAAGGTTTGGTGGGCCTAATGCAGTGGTTCACAACCGGGCAGCTTTAAATTATTTCGTTCATCGTTGTATGTATTCGCTGGACGAGTTCAAAGTGCTACAATTTCTTGTTTTTAGAGATCGCTACTGCCCACCAAAATCGAAGCGAGACGGGCATGTTTTCGCCCGCTTTGCTATTACGTCCCCCGATGCATTGAAAAACGGAAACAGACGGATGATACTATTGGTATCTATGTGTTGACTGATAGACATAATCTTAAGTTTTATGGCCATTTATCAAGTCTTTTAATAAATATGTCACATGTCGAAGCGAGAGTATACCTCCTAATACATTCGCCCGGTGTTTGTGACAATGCAGTGGCGGCAATAATTAAATCCTTTCAGATCTCGCGATTCGGCATGCAATTAATACGTTGATACTGCACATAATTTATATGTAGAAACTTTGCATGGCAGTCTGAAAATGGATATGGTACCTTGAAAGACTTCCATACCGCGTTCTTGTGACATTGTTCTCCGTCCCTAAAAAGGCAGTTTTGTTGGTGGTACGGGCCGGCGTAAAAATTACAAAAATGGTACGTTGACAGTAAAAAAATTGGCAACCACTGCTCTAATGGAAGGGGCACCGCAAAAACGGTTATTATCTCGCTTTACACAAATGCCCCATGGAATCCAAGAGCAAGGTTCACATTAACTAAATAATAAACTAATGCGTTGACATAAACATCTAAACAATGAGTTTTTATGTATTGAAAATGTAGAATGGGCGGGGTGTACCAGATTTAGAAAAAGTGTTAAAAGGGTGTAACATTGAAAAAAGGGTCGACAAGCACTGACCTTGACTTAGGATAGGTTTTTAATATTCATACCAAGGAACGAGGTGAGATATTCAACATTGTCTTGTCGACTTTGCGCTCCCTAGAATAAATATGAAAGATGGTCTTCCCAAATATTTTTCTAAAGTAATATTCTACTTGTCAAGATTGCTTATGTAAATCTCAACTTCTTATAAGTGAATGTAACTTTGATAGTTTGCCGCATGGAGTCAAGAACAGATGGAATGAATCGTTCGGAAAAACTTACATCTGCATCAGACGATCTTCGAAAAACAGAAACTGCCTGCGATTTTATGATTAAAGTTGGGAAGGAAACGTTTCCAGTTCATCAGGATGTACTTATCGCTGCCTCTGATTATTTCCGAGCCATGTTGTCTCACGATACTAAAGAACGACAAGAGGGAGTCGTTGATATGAAGGAAGTTGAACCAGATGCTGTGAAATTATGCATCGAATTCATTTACAATCGGGCCACAACTGTTACCATGGAAACAGTAGAAATTCTTCTGCCTGCAGCTGGAATATTGCAGCTTAATGCTCTCAGTGAAAATTGCGTTGAAGTTTTAGAGAAAAACTTGAAAGCAGAAAACTGTATTTCTGTGTTGAAGTTGGCAAGAACGCATAGTTTCGCTGATCTTGAGGAAAAAGCTTTGGAACTTTTCAGAGAAAATTTCGAAAAATTTGGAAATTTTGCAGAACTTGAGAAAGAAGGTCTTGTGGAATGTATTTCTAATTTGAGCTTGAGAAATGAATTGGCCTGGGAAGTTGTAATAAATTGGATCAAACTTAATGTTGGAGAACGAAGCAAATATATTCTAGAATTTTTAAAACTATTAGATTGGAAGCTGTTTCCTTCTGGAATGTTAATTGAAAGATTATGGACAGAGCGGATTTTCAGAAATTCCGAGCTTTGCAGAGAATACTTGTTTAAATGTCTTTTTAGAAAAGGATGGATAGAATTATATCTTACCATTGAAAATTGTTGCATTATAAAACGAATAGTTACAGAATGCGATATTGAATTCATAACAGATGATGCTAAACATGAAATTGATATGTTTATGCGACAAAATTTACATAAAATTGCTTTAGAAAAAGCCTTCTTGTTTCTAAATGATGATGTTGTGTTGTCATTGTTTGAATTTCATGAATTATTATCACTCTGTGATGAAAGTCTGTTCTGGGAAGGTTTAATTAAATGGTTGAAACATGATCAAAAAAGGAGAAAAACATTTATTAAACTATTGCAATATATTCGATTCGATCTTATGTATGATGATTATATCGAAAAGAAAGTCAAATGTGAACCAATATTTCAAGAAATACCTGAATGTTATGACATATTAGAAAAAATTCCTCGTCAAGATTGCTCAGAAACTAGTGATAAAACTTATATGGCTTTTTTATATCCAAATAACAAAATTCATGTTCTTGATGTTTTAAGTAAAACTTGGAGAGTGGTTGAAATTACTGGTGAAATTATTGTATTGCCTGATGTTAGCGAACAAGAGTTTTTTTCAATATTTTCTTTTCATGAAAAATTGTGTGTTTTAGCAGGAAGCAGTATCTACTATTTACACAAAAATGGGGAATTTTGGATTGAAGGCAATGATGATTTTGTTCATCCGAAACCCACCGCTCAAATTGTTACCAATGATCAATTTATTTATGTTATTGAAAATGATAAAATATCCTATTGCGACGGTGTAGAGAAATACTCTTGCAACAGTCCTTCGGTAACTCCCTCTTATTGTGATTCATCATTTTTTGCGGCCGTGACGAATCAGCATATTTGTCTTTTAAATTCAACTAATGGGTCTGATTTTTTTGATATTGCTAAAGATGAGTTTTGTGGAGAAATATTTGGACCTCAGAAATTAACAGAAAATAGTTGTGTGGTTAGTTACCATGGTGATTTTTACGCTGTAACTTTAAACACAGAAGAAGAGGGTTCATTTGTAAAAAATTTTCGTTTTTTTATTCAAGATTGGGAGGTAAAAGAAATTGGAACTTACTCTGGGGGAGTAGGTTTGATGAGTTATTGTGAATCAATTTATGGTTTGGGAGAATGCGAATGGAAACTGGTGAAAGAGTTTCAAGTGCAGACGGATTCCAAACTCTTTTCTTTTTCAACTTCTGAAAAGTTGTTTATTTTAGCTGGAGGAATGCTATATTCATATAATGATGATTCAGATTCTATACAAACAATAATTGAAATGCCAAACTTTTCAAACAGTAACTTTCCTTTGGAGCAGGGCGAATCATTAAAACCGCATTCTGTTTGTGCTTTCAAAGGGAATTTGGATTCATTGCCGGAAATAGTATTTGACTGATCTTTTAGCTTCCGGGCAAAAAATCTTGAAGTGCTTTATTTCATTTATTGTCTATTTTCCAGTTCAAAATGTTCGTCTGTCTAACAAACTGTATTTTGCTGAATCCATGCTTTCATAATGACTGGACAGCTATTCCCATACCTGCAATGGCTTATTATTTGATTGTACCGTCTCATTGACTTTCCTCTCCTCATAATTAATATGAAAAATAGTATCTCATGATTTGCTTAATTATGCAATTGTTTTATTATTTCATAATAATAAATATGTGCAATCCCTACGAATTTCAAATCTAAATTACTGTATTTTTCACTACAATTTAACCTTCATTTTAATCCTGAATTTTTCCACTTTAATATTTATTCAAGCATGTTTGTATTATTTTTTCAGTATTTATTCCATAGTTACCTAATGATAAACAATGAATAGTTCAAGTTAATAAGGATTACGGAATTTACACGTCTTGTCATAGATATTCCGCTACATGGAGTCTAAAACAGATGGGATGGATCATTCGGAAAAACTTTCATCCGCATTAGACGATCTTCGAAAAACAGAAACTGCCTGCGATTTCATGATCAAAGTTGGAGAGGAATCGTTCCCAGTTCATCAGAATATACTTATTGCTGCCTCTGATTATTTCCGAGCCATGTTGTCTCACGACACTAAAGAACGACAAGAGGGAGTCGTTGATATGAAGGAAGTTGAACCAGACGCTGTAAAATTATGCATCGAATTTATGTATACTGGTGCCACAACTGTTACCATGGAAATGGTTGAAAATCTTCTGCCTGCAGCTGGAATAATGCAGCTTAATGCTCTCAGTGAAAATTGCGTTGAAGTTTTAAAGGAAAACTTAAAAGCAGAAAACTGTATTTCTGTGTTGAAATTAGCAAGAACGCATGGTTTAGCTGATCTTGAGGAAGAAGCTTTGAAACTTTTTAGAGAAAATTACAATTTAAATAAATTTGAAGATTTCGCAGAACTTGAGAAAGAAGGCCTTGTGGAACGTATTTCTGATTTCAGTTTGAGAAATGAATTGGCCTGGGAAGTTATAATAAATTGGATCAAACTTAATGTTGAAGAACGAAGCAAAGATATTCTTGAACTTGTGAAACTATTAGATTGGGAATCTGCCCCTTCAGCAGAACTTTTAGAGAATTTGTGGTCAGAACCGATCTTCACAGATTCCCAAGAATGCAAGAAGTTCTTGTTTTGTCATTTATTCATGGATTCTGACAAATTGGGACAGGTGTTGACTGTTGCTAACTGCTTTATAATTGAACGTTTGTCGATTGAATTTGAATTTCTCTCGAAACAAGCAAAGGATGCCATTGGAACATTCATAAATGTGAATTTGATCCCGATTTCAATAAAACTAGAATTCAAATCTTTGAGTGAAAAAACAGTTTTGTCAGTTTTTGAACATCGAAATGAAAATTGCATCTACGCGGAAAGTTTGCGATGGAATGCAATCATTGATTGGGTGAAGTATGATTCAAACAGACGAAAGTTTCTTTCAAGATTAGTTAAAACCGTCTGTTTTGAAAACTTGTCTAAATATTTCATTGATTTATCAATTGAACAGGAACCCTTACTGAGAGAAGTCCCAGAGTGCTATGAGGTTTTGTTCAGAAACCTCATCGATCTCTCATTCAAGAAAAAAGAATCTCATGTAGCCTTTTTATACCCAGATAATAGAATATTTGTGATAGATGCCAAAGGCAGTTTACATCAAACTCTACCAGATATTGGTCGAAAAATATATCATGAAAATCAAATATTCTCTTTTCAGAAAAAATTGTGTGCATTCGTTGGAGATGAAATTTTGAGTTTGTCGAAAGATAATAAAAAATGGGTCGCAGTTTCTAAATTACAGCACATGCCTGGCCCAAATGCAAGAGTCACAGCAACTGATCGGTACATATGTGTCGTTGAAAACAATACTTTGTCAATATATGATAACACCACAGATGAATGGAGAGAGGATTACCCTGGATTTGGTTATTATGGAAATTTTATTGTGGCTTCAACTACAACTCAACTTTATGCCCAATCAGGAAATAACGATAAGGTATTCAGTTTCATATCAGAAAGACGGAGGGAAGTAAGTCGATATTTTGGTACTGCAATTTCAGCAGTTGGGATCAACCACATTATTTATGTTGTATACTCGAATAGATGTGAGGTGAACTACTGGAATAAGAACTCTGGTTGGAAGAATATTGTCGATGCTCCAGTTGCAGTTAATTCCAGAAACAGTTTCATTTTTACTTTTGATGACAAACTAGTATTGCTAACATCTGGAGAGTTTTATGTTTATCATGAAATGACTGAATCCTGGGGAAAATGGAGAACAAAATTGCCGATATATTATGGCTTTACAGTACAGGATACTTGGGATAATAAATTGGAACCGATTTCCATTTGTTCCTTCGCACAATTAACGCATTTCATGGAAAGATCGTAACTTTGTTCAGTATAAATTGCCTAATTTTTCTTCATAACTAAGAACAACTAAATCAACCCTTATTGCATTCGGAGAAATGATTTTGAAGGAATGTATATAGTTTAGCTATATAGTTTTGCTTTAGCTATAGTTGTGTGATTTATTTTTGTTTATGGCATTATACCAAGTTGGTTTACTTACTTTACATCAGGGGTGTGCAACAGGCGGCCCATTGGCCACGACCTGGCCCACTAATCCTTTTAATGTGGCCCTTTTCAATTCTCAGATTTCCTCCATCAAACATAAAATCTGAATCTGACAGTTTATGTTTAAAAAGTCCTTCATGTGGGTAAAAATACATAATGTTTTTTTCTTTAGTCACTGCATTAAATCTTTCGCTGTTTTGCCCAGTGTCTTTATTACTGCTAAGCATTAGCCGCAGTCTCTTCTCTTGCCTTTCTGGCATGGATAAACTATTTTTTGCTCGGCCCTGCTAGATGTCCGAAGTTGAATATATGGCCCACTGACAAAAAAAGTTGCAAACCTTATTCTATTTTTTTTCTTGTATAATTGAGATTCAGATCAGAAACCATCTGTAATTAATTACTGACTGGTGAATTGTTGACTTGCTTTGATTGTAAATTGACAAGATGATACCGCCTCATAAACTTTTTTTGAATGTGAATATAAAGAATCTATTTTATGTTTTAATAATTATGCAGGTGTTATATATCAAACTTCGTATAATAATAAAACTGTGTAAACTTTCTGAATTTCAATTCAAATCACTGTATTTTTCACTGCAAATCCTTCATTTTAATCCTGAATTTCCCTCCATAATATTTATTCAAGCGTGTTTGTATTCTTTTCTCAGTTTCTGTTTTACAGTTACTTGATAATAATAAACAATGAATTACTCTTTAATTACGGGACTTACACAACTTGTCATAATGTGGATATTTAGCCAGAAACAACGTCACCATGGCAAAGACAAATTTTCTGTAATCTGAGGGATGGATATATTAGTTGTTACAAGCAGTGCAATATTCTCTCAAGGCTAAATATTAGAAATTCAGAATGCAGGGAGACAGCAAAATTCCGGGAAGTTGCCAAAATTTCTAATGCGATTTTAAATGTCCGACATGAAAATACTACATGGGAATCCCGCCTTGTGTATTGAAAAATCTTAAGAGCGGGTATATTCACTTGGCTAATACAAACAGTCCCCGAACTCGTAATAGAACAAAAATACGGAAAATCTGAATAAAATCGTGGTCTATCCTAGGGATGCGACAAGATTCGGACTCGTGCTCGGATTCGTGGCCGAATCTCTCGTAATTTGATACTCGGATTCGGCCCGAGTCTTTGATGATTTTACCCGAGTCCGGGATATCATACGTCACGCGATAGTCAAGCGCAGACTGGTGGTGGATTCGACGAGAAATTCAACTTTTTCGTTCTGTTTTGCCACGAGACTGTCCAGTCTATTTTCTCTACGTGAAATTAAAACTAGGCGGCAAAACTACAAATTCACGACGCCGTGAGAACAAAAAAATGTCAGCGAAAGTCAGCTGAATAAATTCCAGTGTTTCGCGTGTAGCTTGACTTCCAGTGCCAGACGTCGTTTAGTGGATGTCCTATTTCAAGCATATACTTGCTAATCCTCTAACAGTGATTAATCCGTGATCAGCGGTAACCATGTCGCGCTGTTCGCCTTTTATCGTTCCATAAATGATCTAGCTATTTCCGGAGAGAAACAAATGTTAGAAATAAAACGATAAAATAGTGAAAATTACGGTTCTTTTAAGAGAAAAGTACAACTCGCAGATGTCAGTGGCGTTACAATCGTATATATGTACAAAAACAATCTCGCAAGTCGCATCGATTAAATGTGCATAAATTTGGAAACTATTACTTGTGGTAATTGAATGTTAATCGGGCCGACTTTTTATTTCTATTCAATAATTATTTACATACACCGCGATTAGTGACGGGCAAAATCGAATTTTTCCTGATCGAATAATTCGACTACCGTATTTCTTTTAATTTACCGATAGTAGAAAATTACTAGAAGACTGGAGACTCGATAACAACGCGGCGTCTTTACTTCTTATCCCTAATTTTATCACAATCGTGAATTGTTTTTTTGTCACCGCGGTCGTTTCGGCGACCGACATCCTAATTATGGTTGGTAAACTATATTTTTAAAGCACCCTTTTTCACTATCAGTTCTCACGCAACGCCGGACATCGAAGTTTCGTTTTTATATTTCAGGCAGAAGTGTGAGTACAAATCGGCCAAGATTCACTATTAATTAGTGAATTCATAAATATATTAATTTTATTCTGGCCTCATCTTCTGGACTTGATCTTCCATATCACAGTTTGTAAATTACGGTCCCCATTTTACAATACCTATCGTGGCTGTGTTATTTTAAAATTAGATAATAAATGAAAACTCCGGAAATTTACCATTGCGTGCTGTTTCGAGTTATGGCATTTTTACCTAGTCGAAACAATATTTCCATATAATATATAATTTACCTGCCCCACTTAATCTGGTTTGACGTTTCTATATGTGAAAAGGTGTTGGCGCGCTTATGCAAAATTGGGAATTGTTAAGATAACGATAGGCGCAGAAAGAAAACCATAATAATTCTCATATTTATCGTTTCTGTCTGTTAGCGAGAGTCGTATGTGAATTCTTACTCGTAACTCTCACTTCTAAATTAATGTTAATAAATTTGATTTTGCTTTTCAAAGCGCCGTTACTTGTATTAATGGAAATGATTGTGTCATACAGCCGTAACTTAGCATATAACACATTTCGCCTTTTGCGTCTCTCTTATTGAATCAAAATCAACAATTACACATTCTTGTATTCCGCGGATTCGACAATCGCTATTGATGGTTTTCAAACGAATAATAGCTAGCTATTTTGTTACGATATATTTATAAGATACATTTATTCGATGCTTCCACAGTTGGCAATTCTTTATTAGTATCTCAATTATCACGGAGATGGGCGTCTGTATCAGCGCCGACTAAAAAAGATAACATATGAGTAAAAATTTCCCATAAAAAATTTGTTCCAAACGCGTGGGTTATGGCCCGTATTTTCTCGTGACAGGACACGAGCGCGGCGTCTTCAGCAGTCGACGCGGCGGTCGATCAGAGTTACGTAACAAAGTATTCTTTCGACGGGAAATATGACCTATTTATTCTAATCTAAACTAGTCGCTCAGAGAATGATTGTCTCGAAAGCAATAGTGTTTATGTGCAACGTTTTTAAATTACATAGTCTTTTCATATAGAATGTTTAATTTACGGCCAATATACGAGAACAACAGCATCACTTTAGGTATTTGTTTCGTAGCTATGTAAAAGTATTGGACTCGGGACCCGGACACGAGTCCAGCACAAATACTCGGGATTCGGCCGAGCCGAACCTTTTTGGATTCGTCGCATCCCTAGACTCTATCCCCAACCTGTTACACATACTACGGGACTAACCACACATGTCCTTGCTGCATCTGCTAGGCCAGAGTTTCCCAACCAGGGTGAAATTTTGTTGTTTTCATTGATGAAATACAAAGTATAAATTTAGTGTTCAGTGTAGCTTTACTACTAATACTTACTCGGTATTATTGTAATACCGATTTATGGACTCATTATAAACTATCCAAATTGTACGAAACATTGTATTTTTAAAGAATGAAAAAAGTAATGGAAACATAGTCTTACCCGAAGTGATTGGGAGTTTTAGGCCAATAGAAAATATATTGAAAAATCTTTCGGAAACACTGTGCTAAGCCTTAGCGCAGGGGTCTTAAACTTGCAACCTTGGGACCAGTTGCAGCTCGCAGGACGATAGTATGTGGCCCCCATCTTAATATGAAAGTTTAGTTTTAGTGTGGCCCGCAAGTATCTTAGCTCAGATCACAGAAGAGCTGAATAACTTTCAATAACGACATTTGACTCTTAATAAAGTGATTCGTAATATTTCAGTTATTTTTTTTTTATAGTCTTAATTTGTTCATTTATGTTTTCAACTTGTTTTATGTTAAAAGGAAGAAATTTGAGAAGATTTGAATTTTTTAAAACTATTCTGGTCTGGGTATTGATTGATGTTTGTTTTGCCAAAACGACTTTTTTTACCCGATGTGCTAACTTTATGATTATCCGGATTCTGAAGTATAGAATTAGCACTGACTAGGCATGACCTGTTAGCTACGAGCCAGTAGTGGAGTAGTCACGTTCTTAGCGAGAATCATTTTGTTGGAGAGATCTTATTCGGACTGATGAGAGACATTCTTATACAGGTGTAGAGGAAACAATTGACCCAGCATTATTGCGACATACTGACTTGGCAATTGTTTGTGAAGTCAGACATGCTGCTCAAATGCGTTGTGTTTGTCTGGTTTACTGTTGGGTGCTGTTTTTTAGTTGTAGGGCGATGGACCGCAGCCCGGTGTTTGTTGAAGAACACTGATCTAGTCCACCTCATCATGCACCCAACTTTGATTGGTCAATTTGACTCCACTATATTCATTCCGGCGATCTGTTATGCTGATTATGGAGTCGAACTAGACTTATATTATTTTTTATACTTGTTTTTATCATGGGAGAATTTTAAAGGGAATTTGCCTGTATTTCATTTAAATCTGGCCTCAGAATGGTACTAAGAAACATCAGACCTAGGTTGGCAATGACATGGCCTATATTTCAATATTTACTGGTATTGAATAATGAATTTATACACAAACAGTTACTTATTGGTAGGCCAACAGTCTGACTGTTACTTCAGTTAGAACTTAGATTAGAAATACTGAAACATGGAGGCAAAAGGAACAAAGTTGAATGAAGAAGCATCTCAAAGAACTGAAGATGAAAGCGCTTTTACAATTAAAGTTGGTAGGGAATTGTATTCAGTTCATCAAAATGTACTCATCGCTGCCTCTGATTATTTCCGAGCCATGTTGTCTCACGACACTAAAGAACGACAAGTAGGAGTCGTTGATATGAAGGAAGTTGAACCAGACGCCTTAAAATTATGCATCGAATTTATGTATACCGGTGCCACACTTGTTACCATGGAAACGGTAGAAAATCTTCTGCCTGCAGCTGGAATAATGCTGCTTAATGCTCTCAGTAAAAAATGTGTTGAAGTTCTAGAGAAAAGCTTAAGAGCAGAAAACTGTATTTCTGTGTTGAAATTGGCAAGAACGCATAGTTTTACTGATCTTGAAGAAAAAGCTTTGAAACTTTTCACAGAAAATTACAATTTTGATAAATTTGAAGATTTTGCAGAACTTGAGAAAGAAGGTCTTGTGGAACATATTTCTGATTTTAGTTTGAGAAATGAATTGGCCTGGAAAGTTATAATAAATTGGATCAAACTTAATGTTGAAGAACGAAGCAGAGATATTCTGGAACTTGTAAAACTATTAGTTTGGGAATCCTCTCCTTCAGCAGAACTTTTGGAGAATTTGTGGTCAGAACCGATCTTCACAGATTCCCAAGAATGCAAGAAGTTCTTGTTTCGTCATTTATTCATGGATTATGAAGAATTAGGTCAGATGCTGACCGTTGAAAACTGCTTTATGATTGAACAATTGTCGACTGAATTTGAATTTCTTTCAAAACAAGCAATGGATGCTATTGGCACATTCATGAACGCGAATTTGATTCCGATTTCAAAAAAGGAAGCATTCAAATCTTTGAGTGAAATAACAATTATGTCAGTTTTTGAACAATGCAGTGAAAATTGCATCTATGCGGAAAGTTTGCGATGAAATGCAATCATTACTTGGGTGAAGCATGATTCAAAAAGACGAAAGTTTCTTCTAAGATTAGTTAGCACTGTCTGTTTTAAAAACTTGTCTCAAGATTGCATTGACTACTCAATTAAACAAGAATCCTTGCTTAAAGAAGTCCCTGAGTGCTATGAAGTTTTGTTCAGAAACTTTGCCAACCTCTCATTCAGGAAAAGAAAATCTCATATATCCATTTTATACCCAGATGGTAAAGTATTCGTATTAGATAGCCAAGGCAGTTTACATCAAACTCTACCAGATATTGGTCGAAAAATATTCCATCAAAATCAAATATTCTCTTTTCAAAACAAATTGTGCGTATTTATGGGAGATGAAATATTGACTCTGTCGAAAGATAAAAAATGGGTTGCGGTTTCTAAATTAAAGCACATGCCTGACCTAAATGCAAGAGTTACATCAACTGATCGGTTCATATGTGTTGTTGAAAAAAATATTTTGTCAATATATGATAACACCACAGATGAATGGAGGGAGAATTATCTTGGATGTGGTTTTAGTGGAAGTTTCAGGGTGGCTTCTACTGCAACTCAACTTTATTCCCAATCAGGAAACTGCTATAAGGTATTCAACTTCATTTCACAGAAATGGTCTTCTGAAAAGAGAATTATTCTTTCCATCCTTACTTCGGCAGTTGGGATCAACAACAGTATTTACGTTTTGTACTCGAATGGATATATGAAGGTATTGAAAGGGTACTCAAATTGGAAAAATATTGCTGATGCTCCAGTTAACATTTCTTCAAATAGTTTCATTTTTGCTTTTGATGGCAAATTAGTGTTGCTAACACATGGGGAGCTTTACGTTTATATTGAAATGACCAATGCTTGGGGAAAATGGGAAACAAAATTGCCAACATATTATGGCTTCACAGCGCAGAATATCTGGGATAAATTGGAACCAATTTCCATTTGTTCTTTTACAAAAAATTGAAACTTTGTGTGAAGATCGCCACTTTATCCAGTATAAATTGCCTAGTTTTTCCATATAACTGAGAACAACTAAATCAACCCTCATTGCATTGACTACATTCAGAGAAATATTTTTGAAGCTAAAATACATTTGGCTGTGTTAAAATGCTTTTCATATATACCACAAGAACATAAATTTATGACAAGAATTAATTTTCCTTAATGTTTTAATTTATTGAGTAGGAATAATTATGAGATTATTTGTGACTTCAAGCATTTTTGCTTGTTTTTATTAATACATTTTGTTGAGTCGTGCATATTGTTTTCATGTTTTAAAAATAGTTTGTTTAATATAAAATTTAGTTGTCTATAGAAAATTGCCTCATTTTATTTAGTGTCTCTTATTTAGTCCGAATGTTCATCCATCTAACAAACTGTATTTTGCTGAATCCATGCTTTCATAAGGACTGACCAGATATTCCCATACCTGCTGTAGCATATCATTTGATTGTACCGTCTTATTGACTTTCCTCTCCCCATAATAAATATGAAAAATGGTTAATTATGCAATTGTTTTATCATCAAACTTCCTATTATTCCATAATAATAAATTCATGCAATTCTTCTGAATTTCAATTCTAAATTACTAATTTCGACAATAAATCGTTTATATTTCCATGTCCATGCATCTGGAATGACTGCCTGGTCAGCTATTTCCATGCTTGTCTCTATGATATGTTTTTGATAATTATGCATTTGTTTATAACAAACTTCATTTTTACCGTAATAAATCTATGTACTTTTCTAATTTCAATTCTGAATCACTGTATTTTTCACTTTAGTTTAACCTTCATTTTAATCCTGGATTTTTTCTATATAATATTTATTTAAGCATGATTGTATTATTTTTTCAGTTTCAATTCCATAGTTACTGTAGTAGATAATCTGCCACAGGGAGTCAAGAACAGATGGAATGGATCATTTGGAAAAACTTTCATCCGCATTAGACGATCTTCGAAAAAACGAAACGGCCTGCGATTTTATGATCAAAGTCGGCGAGGAATTGTTTCCAGTTCACCGGAATGTACTTATCGCTGCCTCTGATTATTTCCGAGCCATGTTGTCTCACGACACTAAAGAACGACAAGAGGGAGTTGTTGATATGAAGGAAGTTGAACCAGACGCTGTAAAATTATGCATCGAATTTATGTATACTGGTGCCACGACTGTTACCATGGAAACTGTGCCAAATCTTCTGCCTGCAGCTGGAATAATGCTGCTTAATGCTCTAAGTAAAAATTGTGTTGAATTTTTAGAGAAAAAGTTGAAAGCAGGAAACAGTATTTCTATTTTAAAGTTGGCAAGAATGCATAGTTTTATTAATCTTGAGGAAAAAGCTTTGGAACTTTTCAGAGAAAATTACAATTTTGAAGAATTTGGAGATTTTGCAGAACTTGAGAAAGAAGGTCTTGTGGAACGTATTTCTGATTTTAAATTGAGAAGTGAATTGGCCTGACAAGTTATAATAAATTGGATCAAACCTAATGTTGAAGAACGCAGCAAAGATATTCTAGAATTTGTAAAAATATTGGATTGGAAGCCTTTCCCTTCAGCAGAACTTTTGGTGAATTTGTGGTCAGAACCGATCTTCACAGATTCCCACGAATGCAAGAAGGTTTTGTTTTGTTATTTATTCATGGATTCTGAAAAATTGGGTCAGATAATGACAATTGAGAACTGCTTTATTATTAAACGATTGTCGACTGAATTTGAATTTCTTTCAAAACAAGCAATGGGTGCTATTGACACATTTATGAAGGTGAATTTAATCTTGATTTCAAAAAAAGAAGAATTTGAATTTTTGGGTGAAAAAACACTTTTGACACTGTTTGAAGATCGCACAATCGACTGCCTTTGTGATGAAGCCTCGAGATGGGATGCAATGATGTCCTGGGTAGAGACGGATGCCGAACGTAAGATGATCTTGCCGAAGCTTGCCAAGACCATTCGATTCGACCTCTTATCTGAATATTTTCTTTCAGAGAAAATAAAACATGATCAGTTTTTTTCTGAATCTTTGGAATGTCATAAAGTTTTCTTCGATTGTATGTTGAGACCCAAGAATGCATTCAAGGAGCTATATGTTGCTTTTTTCTATCCCGATGGGAACATCTTCGCACTCGAGATGATGGATAGATCATGGTGTCAAATTCCTGTTGTATCAGATAAGAAAACGTTCAATCGCATGTTTTCAATGCATGGACGACTACGTTTACTTGAAGATGATAAATTGTCTTATCTCATGAGTGATGGTAAAAGGTGGATGTCGCGGTCTTCTTTGAATCATGTTCCTGTTGCCAATTCACAAATTGTTATTTCTGGAAGTTCTTTATTTATTGTAGAAAAAGAACAAACGTCATTATATACAACAAGCACGAATAAATGGATTGAGAATATACCTGGCTGTGGTTTGGATGGAGGTTTTATAGCTGAAACTGGCAAGTCTAATCTTTTTGTGTTCAATTTTTCAAATAAGGGTCGTTATTTGAGATATTCAACTCTGAAATGGGATAACATTATAACAGGTAAATCAATTAACAAAAATGCTTCAATTGCTTCTCATGGTGGAAAAACCTTTCTTGTTGGGGAATATAATAAATCCTCAGGAATGTACAACAAAGTCTACTGTTTCACCGATACATGGGAAGCTAGAAATGATCTTCCAGTTGTAGTTTCATCACAAAGCTGGCTGTTTTCATCGGGGGAGAGACTTTTTCTATTTTTCTCCGGTGTTTTATATATTTACGACGAGGCATGTGATTCGTGGGGAACTTTCATGAATATACCAAAATATTGCAAAGGAGGCTTCGGATCTCAACAATATATAGAGCCAGTTTCAGTTTGTTGCTTCACTGGGAATTTAAGTTCTTTGCCCAAAATAAACTAAAGTTTAAATATAAAATTTACCGTAATTTATCAAAACTGAATAATACAATACTGAGATAAGTCTGTTCCTCGGCTTAATTTCCATATGCTTAGTTTTATCGTTTCAATATTATGTTGTTGTCGTTCTGTTCTTTGATACGTTTTGAAGAAATCGCTTTTCTTTTCGATTACTGGACCAATTGCTTTAAAATTTTCAGTGAGTAAAGATTATATATATTTTTTGCTAGAAGGCTATTACTTTTATTTTTTGCTATGACGTCATCATTGACATGAAGGTCAAATAATTACTTAATGTCACAAATCCTCAGGAATGTACAACAAAGTCTACTGTTTCACTGATACATGGGAAGCTAGAAATGATCTTCCAGTTGTAGTTTCATCACAAAGCTGGCTGTTTTCATCGGGGGAGAGACTTTTTCTATTTTTCTCCAGTGTTTTATATATTTACGACGAGGCATGTGATTCGTGGGGAACTTTCATGAATATACCAAAATATTGCAAAGGAGGCTTCGGATCTCAACAATATATAGAGCCAGTTTCAGTTTGTTGCTTCACTGGGAATTTAAGTTCTTTGCCCAAAATAAACTAAAGTTTAAATATAAAATTTACCGTAATTTATCAAAACAATATTGCTTTTTTAAACCCAATACCTCCCCCTTCTTCCAAATCAATGTATCTATTATTCTATGTACGGTGTATTAGCTGAGTAGCGTTCATATTAGACATAGGATAGGATTAGTTTTAGTTACCGTATTTCTCCGTGTATAACACGCACTTCTGGCTTCAGATTTCATCTCCAAAATTAGGGGGTGTGTATTATACATTGGTATAGAAAAATTTCAGAAAATCCTGATCGATATTTTACCTGCAATTGCCGAATACATATCACATGCGTCCACAATCCACATCCTAAAAGAGCCCTGCGTGTTATACACGGGAAAATACGGTATTTATTTTTTGGAGGCATAAACTTGGTGGTGGAGGAAGACGTAACCGACCAGCGGTTATGTGAACCACCCTACGACGGCGAGGAGTCCAGCAATCCTCTCGCACATAACTACCCCGCATGGGATTCGAACCTGCGAACCCACGCAGGGTAATCAGAGATGCGGTGGCGAGCATATTCCTAACGCTTAGCACGATGAGCCACACCGCCGTGCCGTACTTGTACTGATAACTGGGCCAGAAGCAATAAATTGTCATATATTGAAGATTGGATAGGATTTTCTTTTTTACTTGTGATTACCCTACGTGGGTTTAAGTTATGTGTATTAGGTTTGTGGATTCCTAGCCAAGTAGGGTGGTTCATGTAACCTCTGATTGGTCGGTTACGGCTTCATCCACAATCAATACCTAGACTGATATATACTTGGGATAGGATTTTAATATTTATACCAAGTTACGAAGGGAAATTTTCAACATTGTCTTGTCGACTTTCCTCTCCCTGGAGCAGGGGTGGGCAACCTTTTTCGGCTCACGTGCCAAAATCAGCTGAATTTAACGACAAAATTCTTTTCGCGTGCTGACCAAAATTAAAAACAATGCTTTGCTACCTTTAAAGCAAAAATACACAATAATAAACCTATTAAACATGTACAGCCAGATTCATACATAGAAAAAATATCAGTGAGACTTCTGCTGCTGCATTACCGCTAAGAGTTAACATTGGGTTTATATTTTGTAACTTTTGGAAAATGCACAAACTACAGTACTGGTTCATCTTTCAAGTTACTCCTGTTACGAGACTCGAGTCCATAACTGATATTCACAAGCATATTTAGATGAAAACATGGAAAGTGATGCAATTGCGAAGTTTTAAGAACACGACAAATTTTCAGGAATGGCTTCCCAATCACGCAATACAGCAATAGTTCGTTTTCAGCAATTTTCTCTTGTACCATATTCCTTTCTCCAATCGCTTATATTTCTTTTCAAATCAATTTATAACAGTAAGTTAGCAATTAACACTAACCAACATGAGCTGTACAACTTCATAAATCAAGCAGAAATGAAGAAAAGGGTGTCACAGACGAACTATATTACGTAAGAATGCAGCCAAATTGATACTGCGCTATTCTCGACAAAGTTTCTCGAGAGCTCACTCATTTGTTACGCCTTAGTATATTTCTTCTCAGAGAAAAATTTGAAAATTTTGCAGAACTTGATAAAGCAGGTCTTGTGGAACATATTTCTGATTTTAGTTTGAGAAATAAATTGGATGTTTCATAATAAAATGCATGTCCATGTATCTGGAATGACTGCCTGGTCAGCTATTTCCATGCTTGTTTCTATGATAGGTTTTTGATAATTATGCAACTGTTTTATATCAAACTTTATATAATAATAAATCTATGTACTTTTCGAATTTTAATTCTGAATCACTGTATTTTTCACTACAATTTAACCTATTTTAATCCAGAATTTTCTCAATGTAGTATTTATTCAAGCATGATTGCAATATTTTCTCAGTTTTCATTCCATAGTTACTGTAGTAGTAGATAATCCGCCACATGGAGTCAAGAACACATGGAATGGATCATTTGGAGAAACTTTCATCCGCATTGGATGATCTTCGAAAAACAGAAACTGTCTGCGATTTTGCGATTAAAGTCGGAGAGGAATCGTTCCCAGTTCATCGGAATATACTTATCGCTGCCTCTGATTATTTCCGAGCCATGTTGTCTCACGACACTAAAGAACGACAAGAGGGAGTCGTTGATATGAAGGAAGTTGAACCAGACGTTGTAAAATTATGCATCAAATTTATGTATACTGGTTCCACATCTGTTACCATGGAAACGGTAGAAACTCTTCTGCCTGCAGCTGGAATAATGCAGCTTATTGCTCTCAGTGAATATTGCGTTGAAGTTTTAGAAAAAAACTTGGAAGCAGAAAATTGTATTTCTGTGTTGAGGTTGGCAAGAACTCATAGTTTTACTGATCTTGAGGAAAAAGCTTTGGAACTTTTCAGAGAAAATTACAATTTTGAAGAATTTGGAGATTTTGCAGAACTTGAGAAAGAAGGTCTTGTGGAACGTATTTCTGATTTTAGTTTGAGAAATGAATTGGCCTGGGAAGTTATAATAAATTGGATCAAACTTAATGTTGAAGAACGAAGCAAAGATATTCTAGAACTTGTAAAACTATTAGATTGGGAATCTTCTCCTTCAGCAGAGCTACTGAAGAAATTGTGGTCAGAACCGATCTTCTTGGGTTCAAAGCCTTGCAAGAAACTAATTTTTCGGCGTGTTTTCTCAGATTTGGATGAATTGAAGCTTTTTCTTAGCGTTGATAATTTCTTTGTTATCAGAAGTTTGAGTATTGCTTATCAAGATCTCACTAAGCAAGCAAGAAAAATCATTGATGAGTTTTTAAAGATGAACATTGTACAATTATTTGAAAATGATGAGTCATTGTCTTTGACAGAAGATGAGTTATTTGTCGCATTTGTGGATTATGACACTTCATGCCTTTGTAACGAAGAATTGTTCTGGAAGATTGCTGTCAAGTGGTGCAAAAATGATCCAATCTGAAGACCTGTGTTTCCGAAATTGGTGAAAGCAATTCGATTTGATCGCTTGCGTAAAAGCTTTATAGAAACATCAGTTAGAAATGAAACTCTTTTGACTGAAAATTCAGAATGTTTCAAGATTTTTATTGATGCTGTCAGTTCTCAGATATTACAATCAAAGGATGCGACATATATGGCTGTTCTCTACCCTGATGGTAAAATTTTTGCAATGAAGTTGAAAGAGAAATCATGGAAACCTCTACCTGCCATTGACCTTTCTGAAATGACCTTTTTTGAAATGTTCGCTTTCAATAATAAACTCTGTGCCATTGTTGATATGAAATTAATGTACTTTAATACTAACCAGTTAAAATGGATAAAAAGGGAAGCCATGCAGCATTTGCCTGATGAAAAAGCAAGAGTTGTGGCAACTAATAAACATATCTATGTTGTTGAAAAGGACAGGCTTTCTATTTATGATCCAATCACAAATGAGTGGGATGAAACATTACCTGGTTGTGAATTTGACCAATCATTTATCGCAGGGGCTTTAAACAAACAAATTATCGCAATAAACTTTGATAACGAAATGAAATATTTCCATATATCCAATAACAGTTGGGAAATTGTAAATGGAGCCCTCACAGGCTCTGTGAATACTTCAGTGGCATATTCTAATGATAAAATTTATGTGGTTGGTTTGGTAAATATTAGGTCACCAACATTTAATAACATGCAACGGCATGATGGTGTAAGATGGAAATCGCTTAATCTACCTACGGAAATCAGTTCCAAAAGTTTCAGTTTCATTGCTGACAATAGACTCATGTTGTTGGTTTCAGGAAAGTTGTTTATCTATGATGATGTAGGTGATTCATGGGGAACTGTATTAAGTGACTTTCCTAAATATGTTAGTGGAGGCATTGGTCAGTTTGATGATATTTCATCTTGTCCAAATCCCATTTCTGTTTGTTCTTTCAAAGCAGATTCATCTTTTTTAGATTCAATTTAAATTGGTTGAGTTACCTTTATTTGATATTTTTAGCCAATGTTTGAATTTTTAGTTGGCTAAATTCGCTATTGCGCTAAGGACTGTTCTTTTGGTAGGATTATTTTTCATAGGTTCAAGTGACCATATGTGTAGTGAGAAATTAGGAAAACTTGATCAACACAAAATTTCTGTTTCCGTAATCAAGGATGCTTTCCAAAAAAGCTCTCTCTAGTCTGGAATATGTTAAGTATTTCGACTCCATAATCAGCAATAGACGATAAAATAATTGATGAAAACAAAATAAATAAAACTGATAATAGAATCAGGAAAGCAAACGAAATCTCAAGTAAGGTTTAAAGCGTACAGATTTTAGGTGGGAAGGTATGGATAAAAGTAGTAGTACATGTTCGCTTACCCAAAAGATAAAAACTAATTAAGGCACGCATGCACACACACATACAATCATCGAGACTGAGACATGATAAGTCGGGAGTGAATAAAGCGAGAAAATAAAATGTTTCAAAGGCATTGGGTTCCGTTCTACAGGGTCATCCTGTATATTTGACTTTTCGTCCTTTTTTTGATCAAGTTGATATAGCAAATCAGTAACAATGCTTATTCGTTTTAATTTTGGCAGAATAACCAGATTTTGTCAACTGAGTCATTCGTTCTGTATAGATTTCTATTTTTAAGATTAATTTGTTTCTTATTTCATGTTGGTTATATACCGGTGAATGAAATTTTCCCATCATTCCTTGATTTGTTAACTTTTCTGTTCTCCCAGGACAAATTATAAAAATGCAATCTTGTGTTTTCAATAATTATCAAACTTCATATAATAAAACTATGCAAACTAAATCACTGTTTTTTCTTCGCAATCCTTTCATTTTGATCCTGAATTTTTCCCTTTAACGTTTATTCAAGCATGATTGTATTCTTTACTCAGTTTCTGTTTTACAGTTACTTAATAATAAACAATGGATAGTTCAAGTTACTCTTGAATAATGGGATTTACAAGACTTGTCGTAATGTGGATATTTATCAAATAACAACGTCACTGTGACAAAGACAAATCCTCTGTAATCTGAGGGATGGATATAGTAGTTGTTTTAAGCAATGTCATCTTCTCTCAAGGTATTTCTTATTTGTCAGAAAGAAATAGATAATTTATTTTAAAAAATTACAACACACAGGATGAGTCAGTAGTTTATTTTTCAATTACTGAAAATACGCAATTTTGCATTTAGAGTTGAGTAAAATATAAAAAGGCATTTCATGGTGCGGGGAGACAAGAAAATTCACGGAAGTTGTTAACTCCTCATATTATGTGGTTTAAAACATCAGGCATAAGTGTACTACATGGGAAATCTCAGCTTGTGACATAAGAATGTAAGAACTAAGAATGTAAGAAAAAAAAACATGATGAAATACTTTTTAACAACCTTGTGACAATACATAGATAGAAATGAAAAATTACATTCATTCTAATCCTGCTCCATCTAAGTAGTGTTTCAAGTCAGATATGAAGTAATCTCTAAATTTCTAGGCTTTGGCATCTGGCATTTGATATAATCTGACATCACCGGAGAAATGGGTAGTTTATCATCTTAATACAACCAAATACCCTCCCTGGTAAAGCAATGCAAGACATGATATTATTGAATAACCTGGAGGTTGAATATTCCTTCACTATTGCAATATTATTTTGTGAAGTTACTACTTACCCTAGTTCCAAGTCCATGAACATCATACAATAAACTGAGCAGCTTTCTCCATATCATACTGGGACTGCTATCTGGACATAATAATAGGATTTTCATATTTACACTATGCGGGTTCAAGTTTGTATGGTGGTTCAAGTAACTGCTGATTGGTCGGTTACGGTTTAATCGACCATTATTAATACCTGGATCGCCACATATTGGTAGTCCATGTAAACAGGCGCGCAGCCAGGATTTTCAAAAGGGGGGGGTTTCATAATCATGAATTCCCATTGCGGTCTGTAACAGTCTTCGCATTACGCGCTCGTTAAAGGGACGTCTTTTCAGCGTATAATGATTATTCTTGTCGCGTGAAATATTCAATCTCTGACAACTACAAAATTCTAAAATGTCTTTATATATTAGTTTAATTGTGTCCAACGTAACTCGCGGTTGCTTCTTCTTACGTCAAAATTGAAACATTAGTTCTCTGAAATGCCACGGCGATCTGTGGACATAAAAATATGAGATAAACGGTGTATTTAATTTTAATACGTATTTTTGGAATCTTGCCAAATGCCAACTCGTTATCGCTGTTAGAAAAATCTCAATAACTGATATAAAATCCCGAGAAGTACAATTTTATTTCGTACAATGAAATGCATATGAAGTATATCGTTTAATCAAAAATACATATTCATCTCCGCCACTTGTTAAAAGAGCCGACGTTTACAACGAAAAATGATTTTTCTGTTGTGCAAAGTAATCATTTCCTGACCGATAAGGGCATATTTGAAATGTCTTGCTTTATTAATTTAATTGTCTTCAATTTAACCAGCGTTTGCGTCGACAAAACAAAACATTTTTTTACAATTCACAATTTTAAAATACCTCGGCCATTTGTCGACATAAAAATAAAAATTTGTGGTAACTGCCCGTCGCCTGTCATATATTGTTTTGATCCTTATTTTTTCTATTTTGCAAATTCGACAAATTTGAGATGTGCTTGTAACATTGACTCCGTTCAATCGCAATGCTGACACTCCGATTATTTTTAAAGATAAAACCTCCTGAAAAATTCTCATGGAGTAAAATATTTTTCAGTACAATAAAAATTGATGGATATACTTCGGATTAATTATCTTATATATCATCACAAACCGGGAAAAAATCGCGTTTTCAACCCTGTTTAATGATAACACGAAAATTTTCTACAACAATTTTGAAGTAATGGATAAAAGGCCAACCCCACCCACAATTAACCGTGTTTCGATTTTAGTAACGGTATGTTCCTAAACGGCGACCAAACATAATGTGCGCCGTAGGCACACGAAATTTTGGGATTTTGCGACTAGAAAAGCATTTTTAGACTGTCGCGGGACTCAACATAACTTATATTGTTTACGGTTTTATTTTCAGTATTTTATAATGCCGCTTTTCAATCAAATTTAGATCACGGTTTTACTCCATTTGTTTTTAGATCCTCGCCACCGATGAACATATAATAATTCACGAATTCACAATTCCGTGCAAAGTACAAAAATAAAATAATTATCACGTTTATCGTGGCACAAATTTATGATTCAGAAAGAATAAAAACCGACGTAAGGGCGTTTACGGCCTAAATAACACGCTGATGAAAACATGGGCGATTTTAGCAGAAGGCAATTGCAAGCTTTTTCAGTTTTCACATTTCCGTGCGTGTACAAAAATAAAATAATTATCATTGTTCCCGCGGCATAAATTTGTGATTTAAAGAGAATAAACACCAATGTAAAGGGCGTTCACGGCATAAATAACATGCCGCGTTGATGAAAACGAACGGCGATTTTAGCAGAAGGCAATTGCACGTGTTATCGGCAACTTTTTCACTTTTCAGAAAATTCGAAAGGGGGGGGGGGTTGACCCCGAAAACCCCCCCTGGCTGCGCAGTAATCAATACATAGACCAGTGCTCGTCAACCGGATGTATAGTACACCCCAGAGTATACCAAAAAGTTCAAAGGGTGTACCACATCGATAGGGTGTACCGTACCGAATGTTGTAAGGTACACACCAACACATGATATGCTAATTAAATACGCTATGGTAATGGCAATGGTAATATCTATCTAACTAACCTATACATGGTAATTTATGCATAACGTATGTCTGGTGTTTGTGATATCTGCTTATCCTGATTTTAACGTCACAATAACATGAGTAGCAGTTAGACTGGGAAGCGTCTGACACTGGCAAAATAGTCTACTAGTATGAGAGAATGTCGCAAAGCTGTTTACTGCGGCCCGCTCTTAAATGAGTATAAGCAGACTTTCAGTTTTTTCCTTTGGGCTTGGCATGTTTCGTGATTTTGGTGTGATTGAGCCATCTACGTGTGATTGGACCATCTACATTCTGAATCACTGTATTTTTCACTACAATTTAACCTTTATTTTAATCCTGAATATTCTCTATGTAGTATTTATTCAAGTTTTTGTATTATTTTTTCAGTTTTCATTCCATAGTTACTGTAGTAGATAATCCGCCACATGGAGTCAAGAACACATGGAATGGATCATTTGGAAAAACTTTCATCCGCATTAGATGATCTTCGAAAAACAGAAACTGTCTGCGATTTCATGATTAAAGTCGGAGAGGAATCGTTCCCAGTTCATCGGAATGTACTTATCGCTGCCTCTGATTATTTCCGAGCCATGTTGTCTCACGACACTAAAGAACGACAAGAAGGAGTCGTTGATATGAAGGAAGTTGAACCAGCCGCTGTAAAATTATGCATAAAATTTATCTATACTGGCGCCACAACTGTTACCATGGAAACGGTAGAAAATCTTCTGCCTGCAGCTGGAATAATGCAGCTCAATGCTCTCAGTGAAAATTGTCTTGGAATTTTAGAGGAAAATTTGAAAGCAAAAAACTGTATTTCTGTGTTGAAATTGGCAAGAACGCATAGTTTTGCTGATCTTGAAGTAAAAGCTTTGGAACTTTTCAGAGAAAATTACAATTTCGAGGATTTTGGAGATTTTGCAGAACTTGAGAAAGAAGGTCTTGTCGAACGTATTTCTGATTTTAATTCGAGAAATGAATTGGCCTGGGAAGTTATAATAAATTGGATCAAACTAAATGTTGAAGAACGAAGCAAAGATATTCTGGAATTTGTGAAACTATTAGATTGGGAATCTTCTCCTTCAGCAGAACTTCTGGAGATTTTGTGGTCAGAACCGATCTTCACAGATTCCCAAGAATGCAAGAAGTTCTTGTTTTGTCATTTATTTATGGATTCTGAAAAATTAAGACAGACATTGACCGTTGAAAACTGCTTCATAATTGAACGATTGTCCACTGAATTTGAATTTCTTACAAAACAAGCAATGAATGCTATTGACACATTTATGAAGGTGAATTTAAGTTTGATTTCAAAAAAGAAAGCATTCAAATCTTTGAGTGGAAAAACAATTTTGTCATTATTTGAAGATCGCACAATCAACTGTCTTTGTGATGAAAGCTCAAGGTGGGAGGCGATGGTCAGTTGGGTTGATGCTGACAGTAACAGAACCAACTGTTTCCCAAAATTAATTCAGTCTATTGATTTCCATCGCTTGTCGAAAATTTTTTTGTCAACAGTTGTAAAAAATGCCAGCCTCTTCAATACTTCATTTGCTTGTCACAAAATTTTTTTTGATCATGTAATAAAGAAAGGAAATACGCATGAAAGATCTCACATTTCATTTTTATATCCTGATGGCAGTATCTTTGCTCTCAATCTATTAAATAAAGAATGGCAGAGGCTACCAAGTGTATCAGAGAATAAAACTTTTCAGGTCATATTTTCGCTGCATGGACAGTTGTGTGTCATTGAAGACGCCAATTTTGGTTATCTTGGGAGCAATTGGATTCTAAGGTCTACATTACGTCATGTCCCAAGAGAGAATGTGCAAGTTTCTGTTGCAGGAAATTATATATTTTTGATTGCAGAAGAGGAAATGCATATATATAACTCTCTCACCAATACATGGTCTGAAGGATTTTCCGGCTGTGACTTTGAAGAGTTCATTGTTACAGCACGGGGACCAAGTGTTTATGTAGGAAGTACATCAAATGGGGCTCGTTATTTCAATATCGGAAGTCAATATTGGTCAGAAAAAATCAAAGCTCAAAAAATAACTAAGAACGCTTCTACCACTTTCCATCAAGGAAGACTATATGTAGTTGGAGTTGATACAGGGATTTTATTAAATCGAAAGTTTGTCGGAGTTCTCCGATACGGCAATGGATCATGGGAAAATATGCATGATCTTCCTGTAGAAATCACTTCAAAAAGTTGGCTTTTCTCTACTGGACAAAGACTTCTTCTTTATTCATTAAGGACTTTGTATGCTTATGATGATATGTGTGATTCGTGGGCAATCTTCATGAAAATACCGCAATGTACCAAAGGAGGAATTGGGGATCAAAAATGTATGGACCCTGTATCTGCATGCTCTTTTTCAGGCATTTTGGGTTCTGTCAATATGCAGTGAATATTGAATATTCTCCAAAAGATTTATGCTTGTTTTAACATTCGTCAAGATAATAAGTAAACAATACTCAAATTGTTGAATTGTTTTTATTTTATGTGCATTTTCTCTATTTGAAAGTTATAGATTATCTAATACAGTTTAGGTTAAAAACAGAGTAAGATACTTTGGGAATTTCAGTCACAAAATTGTTAATATAAACCCAAGAACTTGTGTGTAATAAAAATTTGGCTGTGATTAAGTGCGCTGCATTGAGTGCATGACACTGTAATTCTTAAAATATTTCAGATGCTAAAATAAAGGAATATTACTTCCAACTACTTTTTGCATTCCTTCCTTGTTTAGAAGAAAACAGTTAATATTATGAAGCTATTCCTAAATTTGGATTTGATTATATAGGACAAGAAACAAATGTGCATACAAATAATGGTTTTTATAAATTTATTTGTCCTTGTCTGTTTTTTCATTATATACTATCTTCACTGTTTATTCAGCCAAAATCTATTTTATCCATATGCACCTTCATTTGCGCAGAATACTTTTAATATCTGCTGATAGAGTCAATGCATTTAAATTCTTTTCATATTTACATCAAAAGTTCCGCAGGCTATTCTTTAAGCTTGAATTTGTGAGTCTCCATTGATTATGCAATTGTTTTTATATCAAACTCCATATAAAAAAAACTATGTAAACTTCCTTAAATTCAATTGAAATCACTGTATTTTTTTCTACACTTCCTTCATTTTTATCCTAATTTTTCCATATTAATATTTATTCAAGCATGATTGTATTATTTTCACAGTTACTTAATATTAAACAATGAATAGTTCAAGTTACTCTTTGATTACGGGATTTACACGACTTGTCGTAATGTGGATATTTACCAATTTACAACGTCACTGTGGAAAAGACAATTCCTTTGTAATCTGAGGGATGGATATAGTAGTTGTTTCAAGCTATACAATATTCTCTCAAGGTATTACTCAATTGCCAGAAAGACATAGATAATTTCTTTTGAAAAATTACAACACACAGGATGAGTCAGTAGTTTATTTTTCAATTACTGAAAATACACACTGCACATACAGGGTTGAGTAAAATATAAAATGGCATTTCAGGGTGCAGGGAGACAAGAAAATTCATGAAAAAACTATGTATTAAATTCAAAAACATCAGGCATAAGAGAATTACATGGACAATTACACCTTGTGGCACAGAAAATCTGTGAAAAATGTGATGAAATCAGGCCTAAATTACCTTGTAATAATACATGGATATGAATGAAAAATTACATGTATTCTTATCCTGCTGCATTGAAGTTCATTTAAGTTCAGATGTGGAAGTTATCTTTAGATTGGTAGGCGTTGGCATCTGGGCGCTCCGGAAGTATGTGTACCAAATGGCACACAACCAGATGTGTACCAAGATGACACACAACCTGAACCCCAACCCGGTACACATACTATGTTCTGGTTGGGCGCCATCTTGGTACGAATACTACAGGAGCACCAGCATATGGAATCAATTAATACTCGTCCTATACCTGACATGGACTGATAATCAGATGGATATTTTATTTATGTATTCTGACTTCATTGGGGAAGTTCAAATGGGTAGCTTATCATCTTAATACAACCAAATACCCTCCGTGGTAAAGCAATACAATGCAAGATGTTATTGAATACCATGTGGGTTAAGTAATTCTTTACTATCGCAATATTATTCTTGTGCAGTTACTACTTCCTCCACCATCCAAATCCATGCATCAAATTACCTAAGTAGCTTCTTCCATATTACAGTATTACCCCTGGACTGATATTTATCTATGAATACACTATGCGTGTTCAAATTTTGTATGGTGGTTCATGTAACTGCTGATTGGTTGGTTACGGTTTAATCGACCATTAATACCTGGACCGCCACATTTTGGTGGTCCATGTAAATGCTGATTGGTCAGTTACGGCTTCACATATTAATCTAATGTAATATTCTATTAATCAAGATTGCTCATGTAATCCTGACTTCTTATAAATAAATGTAATCTGAATAGTTTTCCACATGGACTCAAGAACAGATGGAATGGATCATTTGGAAAAACTTTCATCCGTATTAGACGATCTGCAAAAAACAGAAATTGCCTGCGATTTTATGATCAAAGTTGGTGAGGAATCGTTTCCAGTTCATCAGAATATACTTATCGCTGCCTCTGATTATTTCCGAGCCATGTTGTCTCACGACACTAAAGAACGACAAGAAGGAGTTGTTAATATGAAGGAAGTTGAACCAGACGCTGTGAAATTATGCATCGAATTTATGAATACTGGAGCCACAACTGTCACCATGAAAACTGTGCCAAATCTTCTGCCTGCAGCTGGAATAATGCAGCTTAATGCTCTCAGTGAAAATTGTGTTGAAGTTTTAAGCAAAAATTTGAAAGCAGAAAACTGTATCTCCGTTTTAAAGATGGCAAGAATGCATGGTTTTGCTTTTCTTGAAGAAAAAGCTTTGGAACTCTTCAGAGAAAATTACAATTTCGAGGATTTTGGAGATTTTGCAGAACTTGAGAAAGCAGGTATTATGGAACATATTTCTGATTTTCGTTTGAGAAATGAATTGGCCTGGGAAGTTATAATAAATTGGATCAAACTTAATGTTGAAGAACGAAGCAAAGATATTCTTGAATTTGTTAAACTATTAGATTGGGAATCCTCTCCTTCTGCAGAACTTTTGGAGAATTTGTGGTCAGAACCGATCTTCACAGATTCCCACGAATGCAAGAAGTTCTTGTTTTGTCATTTATTCATGGATTCTGAAAAATTTGGACAGGTGTTGACTGTTGATAACTGCTTTATAATTGAACTTTTGTCAACCGAATTCGAATTTATTTCAAAACAAGCAATGGATGCTATTGACACATTTATGAGGGTGAATTTGATCCTGATTTCAAAAAAAAAAGAATTCAAATCTTTGAGTGAAAAAACAATTTTGTCAGTTTTTGAACAACGCAATGAAAATTGCATCTACGCGGAAAGTTCACGATGGAAAATATTCATTGGTTGGGTGAAGCATGATTCAAAAAGACAAAAGTGTCTTCCAAGATTAGTTAACACAGTCTGTTTTGAAAATTTGTCTAAAGATTTCATTGATTTATCAATTAAACAGGAACCCCTACTGAGAAAAGTCCCAGAGTGCTATGAGGTTTTGTTTAGAAACTTTATCGATCTCTCATTCAAGAAAAAAGAAACTCATGTAGGTGTTTTATACCCAGATCGTAGAGTATTTGTGATAGATGCCAAAGGCAGTTTACATCAAACTCTACCAGATATTGGTCGAAAAATATATCATGAAAATCAAATATTCTCTTTTCAGAAAAAATTGTGTGCATTCGTTGGAGATGAAATTTTGACTTTGTCGAAAGATAATGAAAAATGGCTTGCAGTTTTAAAATTAAAGCACGTGCCTGGCCCAAATGCAAGAGTTACAGCAACAGATCGGTACATATGGGTCGTTGAAAACAATACTTTGTCAATATATGATAACACCACAGATGAATGGAGAGAGCATTATTCAGGATGTGGTTTCAGTGGAAGTTTCAGTGTGGCTTCTACTGCAACTCAACTATATGCCCAAACAGGAAATAAGTATAAGGTATTCAGCTTTAACATTTTTCAACGATTCTGGTCTCAACAAAGATTTATTCCGCCTCCTACTAACCCCACTTCAGCAGTTGGGCTCAACAACAATATTTACATTGTATACTTGGATAAATGTAAGGTGAAGTATTGGAATGGGAACAACTCTAGTTTTAAGAATATTGCTGATGCTCCAGTTGCAGTTTCTTCAAACAGTTTCATTTTTACTTTTGATGGCAAACTAGTATTGCTAACATCTGGAGAGTTTTATGTTTATCATGAAATGACCAATGCTTGGGGAAAATGGGGAACAAGTTTGCCAACATATTATGGCTTCACAGCGCAGAATACCTGGGATAAATTGGAACCAATTTCCATTTGTTCTTTTACAAAAAACTGAAACTTTGTGTGAAAATCGCCACGTTATCCAGTATAATTTGCCGAGATTTTCCATATAACTAAGAATAATCAAATCAACCTTTATTGCATTGACTACATTCAGAGAAATATTTTTGAAGCTAAAATACATTTGGCTGTGTTAAAATGCTTTTCATATATACCACAAGAACATAAATTTATGACAAGAATTAATTTTCCTTAATGTTTTAATTTATTGAGCAGGAATAATTATGAAATTATTTTATTTTGTGACTTTAGGCATTTTTGCTTGTTTTTATTACCACATTTTGTTGAGCCTTGCATATTGTTTTCATGTTTTTAAAAAATAGTTTGTTTAATATAAAATTTAGTTGTCTATAGACAACTGCAGTGCACTATAGTTTCACATTTGCAGGTTTCCGAACCTAATTTGAAATAGTCTAAATTGCCTCATTTTATTTAGTGTCTCTTATTTAGTCCGAATGTTCATCCATCTAACAAACTGTATTTTGCTGAATCCATGCTTTCATAAGGACTGACCAGATATTCCCATACCTGCTGTAGCATATCATTTGATTGTACCGTCTTATTGACTTTCCTCTCCCCATAATAAATATGAAAAGTGGTATACCATGATTTGCTTAATTATGCCATTGTTTTGTCATCAAACTTCCTATTATTTCATAATAATAAATTCATGCAATTCTTCTGAATTTCAATTCTAAATTACTAATTTCGACAATAATTCGTTTATACTTCCATGTCCATGCATCTGGAATGACTGTCGGGTCAGCTATTTCCATGCTTTTCTCTATGATATGTTTTTGATAATTATGCATTTGTTTTAACAAACTTCATTTTTACCGTAATAAATCTATGTACTTTTCTAATTTCAATTCTGAATCACTGTATTTTTCACTTTAGTTTAACCTTCATTTTAATCCTGGATTTTTTCTATATAATATTTATTTAAGCATGATTGTATTATTTTTTCAGTTTCAATTCCATAGTTACTGTAGTAGATAATCTGCCACAGGGAGTCAAAAACAGATGGAATGGATCATTTGGAAAAACTTTCATCCGCATTAGACGATCTTCGAAAAACAGAAACTGCCTGCGATTTTATGATCAAAGTCGGCGAGGAATTGTTTCCAGTTCATCGGAATATACTTATCGCTGCTTCTGATTATTTCCGAGCCATGTTGTCTCATGATACTAAAGAACGACAAGAGGGATTTGTTGATATGAAGGAAGTGGAACCAGACGCTGTAAAATTATGCATCAAATTTATGTATACTGGTGCCACGACTGTTACCATGGAAGTGGTAGAAAATGTTCTGCCTGCAGCTGGAATAATGCAGCTCAATGCTCTCAGCGAAAATTGCGTTGAAGTTTTGGAGGAAAACGTGAAGGCTGAAAACTGTATTTCGGTGTTGAAGTTGGCAAGAACGCATAGTTTTACTGATCTTGAGGAAAATGCTTTGGAACTTTTCAGAGAAAATTACAATTTTGAAGAATTTGGTGATTTTGTCGAACTTGAGAAAGAAGGTCTTGTGGAACGTATTTCTGATTTTAGTTTGAGAAATGAATTGGCCTGGGAAGTTATAATAAATTGGATCAAACTTAATGTTGAAGAACGAAGCAAAGATATTCTTGAATTCATTAAACTTCTGGATTGGGATCCTTCCCCTTCAACATTACTTCTGGAGAAGCTGCAAGCCGAACCAGTATTTATTGAAAATCAGAAGTGCAAGGATTTCCTCATGATTCAGTTATTTTCAAATTTGGTAAGAAAGAATACGAAGAATACGAACATGTGACATATCAAGCAAAAGATATCATTTGGGAATTCTTGCAAAATTCAATAAATTTAATTTCAAAAGATGAACGTTTCCAGTCTCTCAGTCGTGAAACTTTTATGGAGATTTTTCGAACAAGTCATCCTAACTGTTTCTGTGATGAGAGTGCACGATGGGATGCCTTGATGACTTGGATTAAGCATGATAACGAGAGGAAAACTTTGCTTCCTAAACTTGTTGAGTACATTCGGTTTGACCGTTTATCTGATGATTTTTTGAAAAACAAAATAAATAATGAATCCTTGCTCTCCGAATATCCAGAATGTTACAAAACTATCTTTGAAGCTTTACATGTTAGGAGCTCTATGGATAAAAATTACATTGCTGTGTTGTACCCGGGTGGGAAAATTTACACGATAAATTTTGCCGACCGTTCCTGGCGAAAGTTGCCAGATTTACCATCAGAAGGAATCATAGATGGTTTATTCACAATCCATAATAAATTGTGTGTTTTATTAGGATGTATATTGCTCTATCTGAGTGAGAACGGCTCGGAATGGTTAAAACGTAGAATAATGAAAGAATCTCCTGATGACGAAACCTGTGCGAAGATTGTTACGTACGGCAACTGTGTTTATGTTGTTAAAAACGAGATGTTAGGATGTTACGATAGTTCTAATAATGAATGGAAAGAATCTTTTCCGGGATGCGGATTCGATCAATTCTACGCAGCAATGAATAAGGATGGAATATTCGCCTCAGGGACTAATGAATCCTCTAAGTATTTCTCTTTATCTTCAAATTCATGGGGAAATGTTAACAGAGCTTCAAAGAAATCTCAAAATTTTTCCGTGGCTCAATTAAAAGGAGATATTTATGCAATAGGATCGTTTACACCTGATAAAAAGAAGCATTATCGTGTACTCCGCTACAAAGGTAACGAATGGTGGAAAACTGGTGATTTTCCTGTTGATGTTGCAACGAAAAGTTTTGCATTCACAGTCAACGACCGTTTATTCGTTTTACTATCTGGTTCGTTTTATATTTATGACGAATTGGGAGATTCCTGGGGAGTTCTTTGTAAATTGCCAATTTATTCAAAAGGTGGATTGATTAGTTCTGATAAAACTTCCCAACTTTGAACCCAATTTCTGTCTGTGGCTTCAAAGGAAACTTGGATAATATTGGAAAAGTGGAACTGAATTAACTTGTCACAGTGGGAACACTCTTTTTTTCTGTGTGGAAAATTTCTTGGTAACAAATGAGACTTACGAAATTATTCATCAAGTGCAATTGGATTGAATTATCGACATTCATATTTCTACCAATTTTTTTCAAGGAGTGTAGTTAAGAGTTATGGCTAGTAACAGGAACACTCTTTTTTTCTGGGAAGTATATGTAGTATTTAACAAAACTCATAAGTAGGCTACCGTAAAAAAATTCAGCTGGATTAAATTTTTAGCATTTGAATTTTTTCTCAAGTTTCCATGTTTGTGAGTGAGGTTAGAATTGCTTGTAATGGGAATACTCTTATTTTCCAGGTGGGAAGTGTTTGTGGTGATAGTGCTCTTTTTTGAATAATGACTGTACATATATTACATCTTGATTGCTGAATACTGCTATTATGGTTGATTTAACTTTGTGGATTAGCATTCTGATTCTTATGCAAAAAAAATCTAGTTTCTTCAAGTTGTCAACTCTTTTGTATAGCCTAGTTAGTAAGACATTCTGATATGTTTTATGCCTATGTTTGTTTCGGGACTGCCTGGTTCTGTATGGGATTAGTCGCCAGTTATTTATATTTAACTGTTTGTTAATTAGGCTATTGGTAACCAATTATTTACCCATTGTAGGAAAAGAAACTTTATGGTGAATATTGAATACCAATATATTATATACATAGCCTATAAAGATTCACACAATGCTACTTACTGACTATCCTTTTGTGTATGCAAGTAGTAAAGTAGTCTACTGCCTTAAAAATATTTATGAAGCATGATTGGCAATAAAACGCTTTCATTCGTATTAAAATATCCCGGCCACCTAATTAAGTGAGCCGACCTTGCTTTGGTATGATTCAGTTTGTGAAGCATGACTGGCAGCAACGAAACCCTCTTATTAATATGAGAAAATTCTGGCTAGACTTCATATTCATAATATTTCTCTTTTCACTAATGTTTTTACATTAACTCTCCTTAGGTATGATTTAAGTTATGAAGCATGATTGGCAGCAACGAAACCTTTTATTTTAAATAGGAATATTCTGTCTAAACTCCTCATTCTGTAATGAGATTAAATGATACCAAAATAGACCTTATTATTGTTTTTTTGATCAATTCTATTTGTACTCTATATGAGAGACATAATAGGTGGTCTATGACAGTGGTTTTCAACCGATGTTCTGCTACACCCTGGGGTTCCACCCATAATACAGTCGGTGGTTCCGCAGGTCTTATTCAAATTCGATACTTTATATTTTTATATTCATATTGTTTGAATATTGGCCACTATTTTCAAACTTGCTACACTTTCAAGATCATTTTGTTTCGGCATTATCAGGTTTGGTTTTATGCATAAATTTGTTGTTTATACACTTAACACAATAAAAGACAGTTTACCTATTGCACAGGGGTTTCTCCAGTCTCTGGAACGTTTCACCACACTCTGCTCAAAAAGGTTGAAAATCACTGATCTATGGAAACATTCTTTTTATCAATATCGCTTATGCAAACTCCTTGGTACTCCCGAAGTATGTGAACCAAGATGGCAGACACCTGAACATAGTATGTGTACCAGGTCAGGGTTAGGCCATAATTTCAGGTACAAATACTAGGGAAGTCACTTGGCTAGTCCCCGAACTTGTAATAGAACTAAAATAAGGAAAATTGGAATAAAATTATGGCCTAACCCTAACCTGGTAGGCTACATATACTACATTCCAGTGTTCGCCATCTTGGTTCACATACTTCGGTAGTACCAGATCCCTTTCATTTCTATTTATGCAATTTTGTAATCATGTAACTAATTTACAGATATATTATTAAAATAATTAAAACACAATGATATTCAGAATCCAGCCAAAGGATGGTACAAAACGGGTTGAGGTAACATCTTCGGAGACGGTTACATCATTTCTCGGGAAGGTCGCAAAAGAATTTGCTCTTGCAAATGAAAATTAGTGTCGGTTTCAAAATCGTGACTGAACAAATGAACTTAAAAATGGGTCATGGTCAAAATTGAGTAACAAAAACCTAAAACATGGAGATATGTGTTACCTTATCTTTACTGACGAAATGAACGTAGCTGGAGATGGAGGCGTGGTCGAAAACGAAGCCCCGCCCATAGTGAAATTTACAGAGGACGAAATTGATGCAGAATTATAGAAACAGGATGGTAGAATTCCGCAAAATGAAAAGAGTTCTGTCAGAGGTGGAATGTTTAAAATCGATGATTTGCCGGTTAACCCATGGGATGAGCCGTATCTTAAATCGAAGGATATTAAATTATTTATTCTCAGTGGCCCGCATCCCCCCATATCGGTGCCAGCTTCCATTCGACACTAGAACGCACCTTCGAAACCACTGAATAAATTCGTTCTAACTTGAACAAACGTGTATATAATCGTTTTAATATGTACATGAGTAAAAGTATCCGCGATCCCTTTGCAGCTCTGTTTTGCTGATTAACGATATTTTCTCCCGCAATAAAAAAAAAAAAAAAAAAAAAGTTTTTATCGTTTCATGCGCCAACAGACTTCTGGCGTGGACAAAGGGAAATACTTTAAACTGGAAAGTACCAGAACTGCTTGCAAACTAGAAGGGATTAGCGAAGAAAAAAGGTTAGAAATTTTTTGTTTTATATATTTGATTTAGGTTGTTACTTCAAATTGGTATGCATACCAAATCTGTGACCAGAGAAATCAAAAACGAATATTTAAAACAATTTCAAGTTGGAAAAAGTCTGTTCGCGAAATTGATATTGGCACAGAAATTGCTCAAATATTACTTGGAGAGAATACTTGAAATAATTTGTCTGTATCATATTGAGAATATATTGCAAACTTATTGCTTGTTACCAAACAGGACAATGGCATTAAATTTGCAAATTTTTGTATATCATATTACTATACATTGCCTGTAATTTTTCTTGGTCTGTGTTAATTGGGTCTGAATTTTTAAAAATCATTCTTTTTTATAGATTAGCCCAGGGCTACTCAACTATTTTCATCGAAGATCCGCATACAAAACTTCAAAATTATTTGGGTCCGGTCTTTCCAGAAATCATATTTCTGCATCCTTATTCCCACACTTCCTCGATCGGCTAATAATTATTAGCTAATCAAGATTGTTTATTATGGTGGTATATTTTTTTACATATATATTCAAAACTATAAAAGTCATTTATAAAAGGGAACTTTAAAAGTTGGGCTAATGATTTAGTGTGGATTTAGAATCAAATACTCGACAGGTCCGGATTCGGACCGCGGTCCGCCAGTTGAGTAGCCCTGGATTAGCCTATTCGTTTTGAATTTTCAATCATTTTTAACATTACTTTTATTGTTTATACGTATATCATATTACTTTATACATTGCTTGTATCTTTTTTTGGTCTGCGTCGATTAAGTCTGAATTTCTAAAAATCATTTATTTATAGATTAGCCTATTCATTTTGAATTTGCAATCATATTGAACCTTACTTATATTGTTTATACTTGTATCGTATTTCATTAGGCTATGCATTGCTTGTGATTTTTCTCAGTCTGCATTAATTAAGTATGAAAATCATCTTTTAGGTCTAATATCGTCAAGTCTAAAAATCATCTATTCTCCGTTTGCAACATTTTAAACATTACTTTTATGGTTATCATCATCATATTTCTTTATAATATTGGTTGTAATTTTTCTTGGTCTGCGCTTAAATAAATATATATTTTGCTTCTTACAGTATTAACATACATAGATTAGAGTAAAATTTTCTTCACCGAAGTTAAAACGCTTTCATCTTATCATCATCATCATGAATTTTTACATTGGAAATATTCTGGCATGGATTTATTAAAGTTTGGGAAATATATTTTAATCAAAATGAAAAAATATCACAATGTGATTGGACTTATCCTAGTGTTCTTCATACTTCTGCTTAGGTTTATACCAAGGTGAGAGGTATTTACTACTTTATAAACTTGTCTGATACAGGATCTTTAATGCAATCTCTATTAAGTGATGTTAGATTAATGATTCGTACGGTACTCACCGCGAAAAACAGTAGTTTCTAGGCGCGGCGGTGTGGCTCAATGGGCTAAGCGTTAGGAATACGCTCGTCACCGCACCTCTAATTACTCTGCGTGGGTTCGCAGGTTATGGTTATGTGCGAGAGGATTGGTGGACTCCTTGCCGTCGTTGGGTGGTTCACGTAACCGCTGGTCGGTTACGGCTTCCTCCACCACCAAGTCCACGCTTCCGAAAACAAACAATACAGTAAAACTATTCCCATACCCGACTTGGAATGGTCACCGGACGAGAGGTCGTGGTTCGCCATATGGATAAGCCGTATTAGCGGCTTTCCTCTCCCCCGGGATAAATATGTAAAATCCTATCCTTCTCAACTTTGAAATTCAATTTTTCAAATTAGATATTTGAACCTCTGGTATCACTGCTCGATAACCAGCTTTGGTTCCTCGCGACTTCCCTTTCCCAGTCAAACTGTAATTTTTTTTTTAAAAATAAACTTGACTTGACTCCCCCTACCCCCAAGAAAAAAAAGAAAAATCATATATATCAGGGATGGCCAACCTGCTTTCGACCTCGATCGACTGATCGGTAATAAGGTCATACACAAAGATAAATGATTACTAAATATGCAGATAACTGCTAACACGCATACAAAAAATTCCACCGCTGCCAATAAGCTCGACTCTGTGGGTGCATTCTTAATGAAATCCATTTAATTTGTTAATATGTAATTGTACCCGGAGAAAATGTTTCATCATTTATTTGAGATGTATTCAAATAATACAATTCAGATCTACGGCCTGCCTACTTTTTAGTTGTGAGTATTAAAACTTGAGACATAGCGATCGACGTGTTGGCACCCTTGATATATCTAATCAACCAGAGACTGTCACCATGTCTTGAACTGAAGTATAGGATGACTCAAAAATAGAGAACTTTCTCTGGGAAAATGAAACAAATTTACTTCAACTTCCATTTGTGTATGATCATCCCAAAAAGTTTCAGTGATCCAGGACACTTTGTACAAAAGTTCTCTCTAGAATATGTTCCAAATGATCTGAGTTTATTCCAGGGAAAAAATATATTCTTAAAAATGAGAACAAAATGGTTTTGTATCGTTCAATTTAAACATTTTTTCAGCATGAATGAAAATCCCCAACAACTGGAAACACGATCTGCCAAGCCTCCAACTTCTGTAACATCGAATGGGTCAAAAATTTTCGACAGTTGGACTGGAAATTTGAAATTACGAGATGTGATTTTCGACCATTCGGAAGTTACTGTCGTTTTCTACTATGCTCCATGGTGCGTTAGATCAATGGATGCTTTGAGAGAGTTGGAGGATGCAGCCAGTGTGTTGCACAAACAGGTGATTATTGGACATGTTAGTGGACATAACGATCGTTTCAATATTATGTTGTTGTTGTCCAATGACACTTTTTGGACATCTAGTGGAAAACCTAAAAATTCGCTTTTTTTTCTTCGATTACTGGACCAATTGCTCTGAAATTCTTCGTGGTTGAAGCTAAAATATTTTTTTAGAAGGCTATTACTTTCATTTATTTCAAATATTCCTGATAGCACTGTGGGATTCTTTTTTTTTTTGACACGCAATGGATTTTTAGGCTGGCACTCTTCTTGTTGTTCTTTTGATCACATGCTCATCGAACGTCAGTGGTGTGTAACGAAATGCTTGCTTTGCTAAGACGTAGGTACCGGTAGCGTCAAAGGTAAGGACTGCTCCGCTCTGATTATCGTGTCCATATATTTGAGCGTCGCATAAAACTCAATTTGTTAATCAATCTTTAAAGTTTAAAGGAATATTTACTTGTCAAAAGTGCAATGACTTTTCTACATTTTGAATAGTTTATAATCAATGTATATGCTTTACAATATTATTAAATAAGTATGAAATGTTAGTAATACTACACACAAATACAAACCAAAATTTTGTCCCCAAAAGCATGGAAATTTCTCTCTGGTTGGGAAACGTTGTGTTAAAGCGTTAGAATTAACTGTGTTGACACCGCAGGTTACACATTCCGCGTTCAATTCCCATGCCCGCCCACCTTTATACCCAAGGTATGATAAATTACTGTACATACTCGCAGATAGGTCATAATTTTCTCCTTATATTTAAAAAAAAATATAGGTGCGACCAATCCGCTCGACATGAGTGCAAATCGCCACCAAGTGGGAACGTACTTGTACTTATTATCGCTCACTGGTGTCGATAAACATATATTGATTATATTAAGCCCTACAAAAAAACAAAATAGGATGTTATCTATGCAGCTACGGAAAGGGCCTTTTAATAAATCCCTAGATTTTCAGTGCGACTTATGTGCGAGTCAACTCTAAATTAAAATTTTTTAACACAAAACTAATAGTGCGACCTATACGGTGGCACAACCTATCGGCGAGTATATATGGTAGGTTAGCGATTCTAAAAATAGATATCAGCAATTTTTATGCAGGGCCTTGTTCAGAGCAGTTCTTGCTCGGCGGTTTGGTTAGGAATACGCTCGCCATGGCACCTCTGATTACCGTGTTTGGGTTCACAGGTTCGAATTCCATGCGAGATACTTATGTGCGAGAGGATTGCTGGACTCCTCACTGCCGTAGGGTGGTTCACGTAATTGCTGGTTGGTTATGGCTTCCCCCAGCATCATGTCTATGCATCTAAAAACAAACGAGAATATCCGTCAGAGACTGAAGACTTATCGATCGAAAGTTAGGGGATCCCCTAAAACAGCGCTCTAACACCTTGTGTCCCGTCACTATTTAATTGATAACTCGCTAATTATTCGACAGAATTCATCCAAAATCAATAGGCTTCTTGTCCGACATAGGATGAATGCACATGCAAAATCTGGAGCAGATTCAATCTCTCTTTCGTGAGATATCGCGTGCATCTAACAGACATACAAACAAATACCTATCAACATACTTACCGATTAAAATCGATAAGTAATAATTGGCTACCTAATCCGATACCTGACATGGACTGGTAACCCCACAAGAGGCTGTGGTTCGCCATAAGACCACAAAACCGTCTTATCGACATTACTTTCCCCCGGGATAAAGATGAAAAAATAATATTCTATCCTGATTCCATAATTGCTCATTTACCCACCATCAATACTCCCTAACAACATAGTAGACTACCTTTCAAAAAAATAACATTAAAATTGAGCATGAGAGCTGTCGGCCAGTTTTCAGATTGATTTCAGATTCACTGTTGATAATTAACCTGTTATTCATTTCACCGATAATGTTTTATTTTCTTAGGTTTCATTCGTCGCTGTTAATTGTTGGTGGAACCAAGGTGATTGTCGAGGACATTTTCAATTCTTTAGATTCCCTCAAATTTATATTCATCATAAAAAGTAAGTTCATAATTGGTAAAATGTTGAATTAGAATCCTGTTTGGATTTTATATCACAGGGTCCCAAACTGGGGTCTGTGGCAGTTCAAGGCATGTCAGGAGAGGGGCACAATAGTAGGTGTCAAATTGATGTTATTGCTATCTCGTTTGCATACTTTTCCCTCTGAAAATTTGGCGCTCCTGTAGTATGTGCACCAAGATGGCGGACATCGAAACGTAGTATGTGTACCAAGTTAGGGTTAGAACATAATTTTACTCTAACTTTCTTTATTTTAGTTTTATTGAGAGTTCGGAGACTAGCCAAGTGACTCCCATAGTATTTCTACCTGAAATTATGTCCTAACCCTAACCTGGTACACATACCATGTAACGGTGTCTGCCATCTTGGTTCCCATACTACATGAATACCGAAAATTCTTTGCTTTCTGTAGTTTCATTTCCTGAAAAGAGTTTTCTACAAGGGTTTTCACAGTGTGTTTTCACTTCCTGTACATGAATTTTTTGACCATACTGGGGTTTGGAATCTACCAATCAAAATAACGAAATGAATATAAATTTCTCTCCCCTTTGTAGTGTTTGTACACCTAAACTGGTAACATAACTGATTGTGGTTTGCTATATCAGGGCTACTCAACTGGTGGACCGTGGTCTGAGTCTGGATCTTTCGAGTATTGGATTTGGACTGACCTAATTCTTTATTTCGGATTGTTAGCCCCACTTTTTAGGTTTACTATTATAAAATGACTTTTATGTTTTAAATATATATGAAAAGAACTATAACATCATAATAAACAATCTTGATTTGCTAATATCATTAGTCGGCCAAGGACGTGTGCGTTTAAGGATGCCGAAATATAATTTCTGGAAAGACCGGACTCAAATTATTTTTAAGTTTCGTATGCGGATCTTTGGTAAAATTTGTTGGGTAGCCCTGCACTATATTGTTAATTTGTTACGGAATTTCCTTTCACTTGGGGTTAAAGTTGTCCCCGGGATCTGATCAAAAATGAATCTTAAAGTATCTAGTGGCAATTCTAGTTTGTCTGTTCTGAAATTATTTTGAAATGGTACTCCCGTAGTGTGTGTACCAGGCTAGGGTCAGGCCATAATTTCATTCCGATTTTCCATATTTTAGTTCCATTACGAGTTCGGGGACTGTCTGTGTTAGCCAAGTGAATATATCCCCTATCCATAGGTTTCAGTCCCTTAACACAACTTGATATTGGTACACACACTTCTGGAGCACCTTTTAAATAAATATAATAATTAATTTCAGCTTGAGGAAAAGTGTTTTATATGATGGTCCATTGAAAAAGAAGCATTTTATATATTTTCTGAATAAAATTTTGAATCCATTGACATATTTGCCGACCAAACTAGAAGTGGAGAAATTTATGTTCGAGAACCAGGTATGTGGTTGATATTAACCAGGTATCATCTTTTGGTCAGGATTTCAAAGCTGGTAGGTTGTTAAGTCTGGCTGTTAGAAGAACTTTCACAAAACTGCTGGGCTAGTCTGGATAGAGTTAGGAATAGTAAATAATGAAAAATGAATTTGTCTTTACATTTCATCACTTTTAGTTATGTCAAAGTCATTATTATCTTTTTTTTCGAGCCTTGTGTATATACACAAAATAAACCCAGCGTGGCGGTGTGGCTCAACGGGCTGAGCGTTAGGAATACGCTCGCCACCGCACCTCTAATTACTCTGCGTGGGTTCGAATCCCATGCAGGGATGGTTATGTGCGAGAGGATTGCTGGCCTCCTCGTCGTCGTTGGGTGGTTCACGTAACTGCTGGTCAGTTACGGCTTCCTCCACCACCAAGTCCATGCTTCCGAAAAAACAAAACAATAATATAACTAATCCCATACCCGACTTGGAATGGTAACCGGACGAGAGGCCGTGGTTCGCCATATGGATAAGCCGTCTTATCGGCTTTCCTCTCCCCCGGGGTAAATATGTAAATCCTATCCTAAACATGCTGATCTATACATGATTATGATTTATGAAAGTTAAACTTAAAACTGGCACTTAAAATTAATGCAAAGCCTATAGAGCGAATATGGACAAACTATCCCATGCGGGCAAATTATGGCCCTTTGGGTAATTCAATCTTGCCTGCCTGATGCTGCCACAATCGAACTTGAACTAAATTTTGATGATTTGGCTAAAAAAAATAGTTCAATGAATTTGTTGATATTGCTATTCAATTTAGTGTTTGCAGGAGGTGGTTTTCCACTTTTGCTTTTGTAACACTGGAAATATTGTTCATAAAATGTAACTTTATGTAAGTGTGACGCCAGTCAAGGTGGGGAAAATTTCTGGCCCTTGGTCTGAAAACCGTGCCCACCCCTGAAATAGGGCCCTTTGTGTCCGCATATGTTCCACTAACCTAAGGTTACAGTTCACAATAAAACTGGAACATAAATAGATGATGGAAATTCATTAAAAGAAGAACTATGCATCTCTATATAAGAGCTGCAGGCCTCAAGTATTGAGAGTCTTTGGAAGGGGCCCATTGATCATCAAAGTTCAAGAACCACAGCTCTAACACTAGGCTTTCACCGACTGCGATGAAGATGGTAACCAGCCAGCTAGAGAGCAATTGCTGCTGGAGTCATCCTACCAGCTTTCCTCTCTTAGCAGTTTTTTATGTTCCCGCTTTTTTTCAACATTGTATATTTACAGTTCACAGTGCTGTCACACATCGACCCAAGCCATGACAAAGATCTGATGTTTTATTCTGTTCTTGCAATTAGACAGTTGGAAATGTGTAAGTTGATTGTCATATTACTTCCTATTTTTTTATCAATGCGATATTACATAAGGTTTTCTTCAGATCTCAGTTTGAAAAGGATCGATAATGTATAGGATTCTGTGGTTCTAACATAGCCAATCCAATACTGAGGACTTCTGAAAATTGAGAGCTTCTCGGGATAATATATCATTTTTATCCTGGGGAAGAGAAAAGCCGATAAGACGAACTAATCATAATAGGGAACCACGGCCTCTTGTTTGATTACCAGTTCATGTCAGCTATAGGATTCGTTGGTCAGTTATTTGTTTCAGATGCATATGCATAGCCTAAATGGCAGAGGAAGCCGTAACTGACCAGTGTTTACGCGAAACACCTTACAGTGGCGAGAAGTCCAGCAAGCTGCATTACACAGATTTTGAACCTGTAAATTCAAGCAGGGTAATCAAGAGGTGGCAAGAGAATTGCACCTTTTACAGCTGCTCAGTTTTAACTTTAAAGTCTAACGAAACTAATCATCTCTCACAACATCTTAGATGATCTTCCTGTCCAATTTGGTCTCATAGTGGAGAAACAACTCGCCAAATCATATTTCCTGAGGCCGAACATACTTCAAGTACGAAACAAGATGAAACCACGAGAAATTGTTCATTTGAAATTCCATTCAACCATGGATCAAATTATTCAAAGTTTGAAAAAATTTCAGAGCAAATTGGTGAGTAAGAGGGTGCTGTAAGATTGCTAACAGTGAAGGCCATATTTCACTGCGATAGGCATATAAATATGTGTCATATAAAGGTAAAACAAAGCAGATATTGGTATTTTCATAAAGAGTTTTCGCTTCACACCTTTAAATAGACGTCTGTAAAGAGATCTGCTGCTGTTAAGCAGAGAGGTACAATTTTTTAGAAGACTCAACATATGGGTGTGCGACAGGCCGCCCGTGGACCACAATCCAGCTCATCAAACTGTTCAGTGTGGCCCTTGTCAACACTCCTATCGCTGCGTTAAATTTTTTGACGTTATCTTGTATTTCCTGCGGTGCAATTCGTATTTTTTATTTGGCCCGGTTATATGTTTGGAGTTGGTTATATGGCCCACCAACAAAAAATGTTGCACACCCCTGGGTTGAAACTTTCCAGTTTTGCATTGCCAGGATGATAATAATTGGGATCTTATCGTCTTTCATCTCCCCCGGGATAAATATGTAAATCCTATCCAAGTCATTTAGACCTCACTTCTAACTTTTTATTTCAGATTTCTCCAGACATTGACCTGCCTGGTGTGAAAACCAATTATTTATATCAAACTATTCATAAAGGTGCTACTTTGATTGTATTTATTTCGTCAGAAAATTTAGAAACGAGAGAGCTATTTATTGAAAAGGTGCGTACAATTATTACTTAGCGATCTTTAGATAGGTATTTTTCTGTTTGTCTGTTAGATGCACGTAATATCTCACGAACGCGTGGTTGATTCTGCTCCAAATTTTGCATGTGCATTCATCATATCTCGGACCAGAAGCCTATTGATTTTGGATAAATTATGTCTTATAATTAGCGTGTTATTAATTAATTAGTGATGGGACATGCGGTGTCATTAAAGAGTCATGAATCGAAACCGCAGTTTCGATCGATAAGTCTTCGGTCTCCGACCGATATTCTCGTTAATATTTTGTTAATATGATGCAGGGTTTGTGAAACTGGGCCCTTGGAAAGTTCTCTACACTTGTCATGGCACTTCTTATTATCTGTGGGAGATGCTTATGTGTTTGGGCATGATTCTCAAAGTGCTCCATACAAATGAGTCCTTGTCAAGTCCTTGCATCCGAAATAAACAAATGGCTAACTAATCCATAGCTAACATGGACTGGTAAACAGACGAAAGGCTGTGGTACGCCATAGGATCAAGCCGTCTCATCATATTCCCTCACTATTTGGATAAAACTGATGTCTTATTCTAACTTCGACTGTTCTGTGGTGTAGCACATTGGTTGTATAATGATGTATATTTTTTTCAGATTCGACATCTTGTCTTCCAATATAAAAGATGTCCAGAAATCTATGAGCAAACGAAACAAATCTATGCACACACGCTGTCACCAGAGAACAAATGTTGCCAAAGCGTCCTTTTTGAGGATTCCAATTCTATTTCACTAGTATGCAGTATCTGCGTGAAGCAAGGCAATCCAAACAAATCATACTATGCAGAATGTGGCTGGATAAGAGACTATATTTCAAGTGTTGCAGTTGGCAACGACAAGTGGATTAGATATGCTCAGGAAAAAATATCCTTTTCGACAAACTCTGTTTTATGCACGAAATTTTTACGTTCCTACGATACGCACAGAGTGAATTTAGGCATTTGCTGTGAAGCAAAAGATAACATTTTGGAAAATTCTGAAAAACTTTCCGAAAAACAGGAAATTTGTATTGATGAACTTTTAAATAAAACACGAAAATTATCACTAATTTCAACTGATAATGGAGAAACAGTGATAAGGGATACATCAGGAACTGATAACTCGATTATATTTACTGATAACAACCCTTTTATCAGTGATAATTGTACTGATAGCATTATATCAGGAATATATTGCAAAACAAACAGAACTTTGCAACTTTTAACTCTGGATCTAGAGAGACATAAAGCACTATCACGGAATTTGGGAGTTAACGAAGAAAATGTTTATCACATCGGAGAAACGAAAATAGGGGCTGTGATCTTTGACCCCTTCAATGACTTTCGACATGTTATGACATCATCGCATTTTCACTTAGGTAAGTTTTTGACTCGCATTTTCACTCAGGTCTCTTGAGGCACTCCGTTCACCAAAATGGCGCACAACCTGATAACCCTAACCTGGTACACATACTATGTTCAGGTGCACGCCATCTTGGTGCACATATAACGGCAGCATCGTTTTTGACTCAGAAGTAATGAAGCAAAAGCTAGATATACTTTGAATCATGTTGCACATCGACCTTAGTCAGCAGTGTTTCTCAACTGTTTTCGTTTGGTGGCTCGCTTTCATTGCACAAAAATGCTGTGGCTCATTATCTTTCTCATGCAATGGAATAACTACAAGAAAAACAAAAAATTATTTTTATACAGATAAACCCCTCCCACTTTAATAATTTAAATGTAATCGGAAAACATCTTTTTTTACGTATTAAATGCTCAGTGCTCCAGAAGTATGTGCACCAAGATGTCGCACAACCTTAACAGGTACACACACATACTATGTTCAGGTTGTGCGCCATCTTGGTGCGCATTCTTCTGGAGGTCCAGAAGCTCTATATATATAAAGCCCTCGTCAGGGTAAAAGTTTGAAAATATCGTTTTTATAAAAAGTGGATAAGGCTTGGACAGTTGGCTTAATTAAAACAACCCAATACAACAAAGGGGGGAAAGCAGCTCTTCTAGGATGGGGTATTTCTGCCTTTTCTCTACCAAAACCTGATTCCTCCAGCTCTAGTCATTGAATATTTAGCTCCCACTTCAAAATCATCTATTTTTTTTCTTTTCTACAGAAAACTTCATCATAAATTATACACTGGGAATCTTACCACAAACTTATCATGCTACAAGTCTTAAAATCAAGCCATGCGTTCCAACTTCAACAAGTCCATGCGTTCATGAAATCACAGCGAATAGTTTTGAAGAAACTGTTCTGAATAATAAGAAGGTTTGTTACACCATAACTCTTCCTTTTTAGTACTGTTTATCGTTCTGTTAGTCCAATGGTTTGAAACTTGACCCTATGTCCCTTTGGGGGTCACAAAAAAGGAAACAACACGAAATACCATTTGCGATGACTGCATTAATTTGAAGTAAAATGTGATTCAGTCTATTTTTTGACTGCAATGCCTCTATTCTTCTACTTCCATTTGTTGGCTTTCTACATTATGAAACATGGCGAATGAAATAGTTGATGGAAACCTTCTAAAACAAAACTAGTTTTCTACTTGAAAATCAGGGATTAAAACGTCACTACTATTCATGAGAGTTTAAAAACCACTGTTCCAGACAAAGATGCTTTGGTACTCATGTAGTGTATGTACCAGGTGTTCGGCCATAATATTTTTTGATTTTCCTTATTTTAGTTCTATCACAAGTCCGGGGACTGTCTTTGTTAGCCAAGTGAATATACCCCTGCCCATAGGTTTCAGTCCCTTTACACAACTTGATTTAAAGTAGGCAAACAAAATTAGTTACCTCCATATTGGTACAAACACTTCTGGAGCGCCGAGGCCTTATCCATAGTGTTTTTCACCGTAATTTGGGCAAATTTTTTTTAAGACATCTTTTTCTTTATTTTAGGATGTTCTTCTCTTCTACTATGTTCCCTGGTGTTCAGCCTGTTCTTCTATATCACACATATATTTAACACTAGCTCACCTCCTTCACCACACAAACCCAGTGATACTGGCTCGAATTGATGCTCACGAAAACGAATTACCGTCACATTTCACTGTTCAAAGTTACCCTACTTTCATGATTTTTCCCGCTGGAAGGTAAGATATAGGATAACGTTTTTTATATTTATCCCTTGGGGGGCGGTGGCCTTGAAACCTTGAAATAAGTAGTTTAAAATACCAATTTATCATTGTGTATGAGTATTCATATGATACGCAAGAAGGATTAGAGTTTAACATATTCATCCCGGGGGAGAGAAAAAGTGATAAGACGGCTTAACCATATGGCGGACCATGGCCTCATCCAGTTACCAGTCCATGTCAGGTATGGGATTAGTTAGCCATTTAATTGTTTTCGGAGGTATAGACAATGGTGGAGGAAATTGTAAATGACTAGCGGCTACGTGAAGTGCCAGAGTCCAGCAATCCTCAGGCACATAACTATCCCCGCATCGGATTCGAACCTGCGAACCCACGCAGAGTAATCAGATGTGTGGTGGCAAGCATATTCCTAAGGCTTAGCACGATGCGACACACCACCAAGCCACCCAAGAAGAAAAGAAGTTAATTAATTTTTGAAGATCTAGAATTTTCCTGATTTGGTATTGCCTACTGGAGAACAAAAAAAGACGGGGCTTAATCATATGGTGAACCACGGTCTCGGGTAACAGTTCACGTCTGGTGTGGAAATTATTTCTGAGTGAAAAGATAGGATTAATTTACATATTATCGGGAAGCCGATAAGACGTCTTAATCATATGGCAAACCACGGCCTCTCATACAATTACCTGTCCATGTCAGGTATGGGATTAGTTAGCCAATCATTTGTTTTAGGAAGAATGGACTTCATAATTATCATAAGAGGATAAGACGACTTTTTTATCATATTACTTACTGTGGCCTATCATCATGTCGGCAATCTATGTAATTCCTGCTAAAGCCGATCTATTATGGTAGGCTTGGCTCCAGCTCCTCAGCCATGCTTTTGAAAACAAATAACTGGCTAACTAATCCCATAGCCGACATGGACTGGTAATTGGACGAGAGGCAGTCTTTCGCCATATGATTGAGCCGTTTCACCGTTTTTCCTTTTCCCCGGGATAAATATGTGAATTCTATCCATGAGATAAACTTCATCCTTTTTTTTAACAGATCAGCTGATTCATCTGTCTTTCCTCAAGATACTGAAATCACAGTTGCCAGATTATTATCATTCATTTTGAAGAACGGATCCATACACACCAAATTCGATGTTTTAAAGCAACTTTGCTTCAACGGTGAAGATTATCCGAGGATAAAAAGAGCTGCATGTGATAAATTAAAAGCTATGCTATATATATCTTGAATTTGGAAAATTCCAAAAAATCACTGAAGCGAGTTTTGAGGATGATATTGCCGTTAGAGTCAAAATTATAGTTTTGGTACTCCCGTAGTATGTGTACCAGGTTAAGTTTAGGCCATAATTTTATTTCGATTCTCCCTACTTTAGTTAAATTATGCGTCTGGACCTGTCTGTGTTAGCCAAGTGAATATACTGGTAGGTCTCAGTCTCTTTACACAACTTGATGTAAAATAGGCGAACAAAATTAGTTACCTCCATATTGGTACACATACTTATGGAGGGCCATAGTTTTAACTTATAATGTGTGCATTTGGAACATTTCGCAGAATCACAGTGGTATGCAGCAACCAGTAGTTTAATTTGAGAATTTTTCTGCAAAATCACAACAAATCTTAAAATCTATTTCTGTATTATGTATTGTTTGGATCATAGGAATGGCAAAATCACTGAAGCATATCAGCAGAGCTTGAAATTTATTTATACATTATGAGTTGATAAAGTTTGTGGATTATGTACAGAGCTTAAAATTTAATTTATTTCCGTTTAATATGTATTGTTTGGATCACGAGAATGGCAAAATCACTGGAGCATATAAGCAGAGCTTGAAATTTACTTATTTATACATTATGAGTTGATAAAGTTTGTGGGTAATGTTGCTTGTGTAATGAACTATGATCACAGACAGACAGAATACTTTTTCCTAACAGAATTATTATGATTTTAGGAAATATGTTTGAATTTGTTTTTTTTAAATGATCGAACATTTCTCTTTTAGCTAGATCAATTATCTAAATCTTTTAAATACAAACCTTTCACTTTTGCCTGGAACTTAACTTTGAAAGAGAAGCCAGAAAGTTGACCTATCACTGCGAATCGCTACGTGTATCCGTTTACCCGGTATGGGATTGGAGTGATTAGTTGATTGCTTAAAATACATGTACCTAGATTAGAGGTTGGCAAGGTTTTCAGACCAGGAGCCGACCATATAGGCGTGACATGAATAAGCACATTTTGTGAAGAATATTTACAGTGTTACAAAAGCAAAAAAAAATAAACTTTGGGCCAAAACTAAATTTACTCACAATCTCAACAAATTCCTTGATCTTTTTATCTTTGGTTGTGGCAGCATCCTGCTGGCCAGATTGAATTATCCGACTGGCCGTATTTTGCCCACGGGCTGTAGTTTGCCTGTGTCAGACTTAGATGTTCGCTTCTTTTGTGTGAGATTTTAAGCTTGTAGCAGATTTTGAAATCCCGCTCCACATAATTAAATAAAAATGATTTACTCTAGCATTCCCCTCCTCAATTTTATTCTTCCGTTTTGAGAATATAATTTTAAATTCTAGAATGTTCCTCCCCAATATTTTAGTCATCCGGAACTGTGGATCTTAAAAACATAATAGCTTGAAGGGGGGAGTTGACTTTGATGACCGTCTGGTCGTATCACTCACTCCTGTCTATACCAAACTAATTTATTTCTTATTGTTATTTTTATTACGATGACTGTTATTTTTGGTTGACGAAAAAATAAATCTCTCTCTCTCTCTCTATTATTTGCAATGTGAAATCGTATACTTTTTTGACTCGTATATTAGTAAATTCATCTGCCAATGTTTGTTTTTGTGCCACACCAAGTCTGCCTTTCTTGTGCAATAATGTTCCGAACGTCTTTATATTGTCAATATAAACCAATCCTGTTGGAACAGGAAAAATTTTAGTCGACTCCAAGCCCTGGCTAGTAAGCTTCTAGCTTACAAGCTGAAAGGAAATTTGAGACTTCAAGAAAATCAAATGTTGATATCAAAATTTTAGTGAATGTAAGGGGCTCCCGAAGTATGCGAACCAAGATGGCGGACATCGGAATGTAATATGTGTACCGTACTAGGTTAGGGTTAGCTAGCTATAAATAGTTCGGAAGGCTCTTGGCTAGTCTTCGAACTGATAATAGGACTAAAACAGGGAAAATTGGAAAAAAATTATCGCCTAACCCTAACCTGTTACCCATGTTACGTTCCGATGTCCGCCATCTTGGTTCGCATACTTCGGGAGCACCGAATGTAATCTTATTATACTTAGCTGTTGTTGGTGCTCTTTATATTTTTCATTGAAAACTTTTACTCAGACTAGGCGACTACTATCATTAGAAGTCCGAATTTGAACCCAGTTTGAAAAGCAATGATTTAGTCAGCATATAATTCCAGTTCCAAGATTTTGTACATTTAAAAGATTTTGTGTTCAAAAGAAATTGTTTCATTAGAGTTTGGTGTCTGTTAATGTTGCTTTTTATTTTCCCAGTTCCTAATTCTAATACAAACTATTTTCGATATAAAATAACCAAAATGGCATGGGAGGCTCCGTTTGGAATTATGCTGCATGACGCTTACTACGATGTGATGGATAAATTGTCGAACAACCAATGGTTTGAATTCGCACGAATATGTCTTGATCTTAAAAACCAAATCGATGACATAACAAAGGATTACGCTACTAGTGGAATACGAGAACAAAAATATCAAATGTGTAGAATATGGGAATCGAAACTCGGCAAATTTGCGTCTGTTGAACATCTTTATGATCTCTTGAACTACTTTCTGAGGCCCAAGGAATATCCAAGTAAGCCGACACCTATGTTACAACCCCAAGCAGGGATGCCAGAAAAGGTGATGCTGTATTGCTCAAGAGTTGGAAAAATTGAAGTCGTCTTTACTGAAAATGAAGAGAAAAAATCCAGAAAAGAATTTCTATCAGCTTACGAGAAAAAGTACGGAAAAGGCAAGGTTATTATCTTCAATAATGAAAACTTTATGGGGACTTATACATGCAGAAAGGGTTCCAAAGTTGACGTTGAAAACATGGAACGTCTTTGGAAAGATCTTGGAAACGAGGTTACAATTTTTTTGGATTTAACTGCAGAAAACATGAAAACTGAAATGGAGAATTTCGCAAAAAATACCTCGAAAAATTATGATTATTTTGCAGTGATAGTTTCGTCGCATGGAAATTCTGAAAAAAATCTAGATTATATTCTTGGCACTGATGAAAAAGAGTTGATGTTAGGTGAGGTTTTGGATATTTTTAATAACAAAAATGCCCCAGAAATGATTGGGATTCCAAAACTTCTCTTTTTTCAAACTAGTAGAGGGATGTACCTTGACCATGGATGCCTAATATCTGATTTGGAACAATTGGAAATAGAAGACGGTGGTGAAATGAAAACAGAGCCCACCCCGGAAAATAAAAGTGTTCCCATTGGAAAATCTGCAAAAAGTGATGAGGAGAAAGGCAAAAAAAGCAGTAAGGAGAGGGTTATTTCTGCATCCGGTCATGTTACAAAAAAGTACGAGGAACTGCAAACTGCTAGTCAGCCTGATTCTGCAAAGTATTTACCAACTGTTTCGGACATGTTGGTGTGCCATTCCACCATTCTTGGGTACCATTCATTCAGAAATTCACTCAATGGTTCTTGGTTTCTTAACGCTGTAACTAACGTCTTCATGAAACATGCAAGAAGTGAACATGTTGTTGACTTGATGGTCAAAGTTAATGAAGCAATGGCAGAAAACAGCTCAATGGCTCGAGATCCTAAACTCTCCAATTGCAAATGTATGTCAGAGTTTCAATGCACATTCAGGAAAAGGCTGTATCTGTTGAATGCTGGCGAAAAGAAATAATTTCTATCACATTTGAGTTTGTATAGATTGCCACTGAAGACTTTACTTCATTAAGAATAAATATTCTATCTACACTTGTCTGATGAAGCATAGACTAACGTTGTCAAGTCAAGTTTTTCAACCAGTTGAAAAAACCAATCATTTACAATATTCGAAAAATGGAGATGATCACACAGTTTTATTAGGGAAGGAAAGTCGTAAAGAACCAAAGCTGTTTACCTGCCTGCCCCCCTATTGCCAGAACTGTAGACTCCAATTTAGATCCCCAAACTTTACACTCAGTAAAAGACTGTTTTTGTTGAATGCGCTGGAAAATAAGTAATCACACTCAAGTTTAGGTTTCTTTACATTACCACTGGAAAGTTTATTCTAACGGAAAAAAGGATCAGTTCACAAATAAAATAGCATTTTAGTGCACGTAACTTTGCTCACAAATGTGTTTGCTCCCAAGTTGCCATGAATTCTGAGTGCCGTGAAATTAGTAATCAAAATTACACTTGAATAAAGAAGTCTCAGTCACGTTACTTTTTTCACCCAAAGTTGGTGGACTCTGGTGAGACTTCAAACAAGTCATTTGAAGAATGACTCCATGCTTGGTTGACAATAATCTTGACCTGAGCTCTATACTTCAGGGCAAGGAAATTTTGACTTCATTTTCACAATCTGAGAAAACCAAAAACCGATAGCAAGTCTTCTTTAATTTCAGTTTTTCAAAAGTAGAGTGGTTCTCAACCTTTTTTCCTTTGTGGCCCACTTTCGTTATATAAAAATTCTGTGGCTTTTTCATGCAAGGGAAAAACTAAAGATATACAGGACAAATTTTGCAAAAATGAAAACCTCAACTTCAATAATTATATAAAAAGAAGCAGCATCATTCATTGCTACTACAATGAAAATTTGACTATAATGACGCAAATGAAACTGAACTTTTCAATAACTGTAGTAATTCTTAATAGGCTTATTCGCATTCGCATTTATTCGTAGTTAAGCAATAGTAAAGTTATATTTTAAATTTTTAAGCTCTTGGAAATTTTTAATAAAATACATTGGTGAATATTGCTTCAAATTCAGGTAAAAGCTTATTAAAAGCTATTTCTTAATGATTTTTTCAAATGCAACTTCGGTCCTTTGTTCCACCATTATTTTCTTAAAGCAAGGCTACATACATCCAAAATGTCTAGGAAAATAACAAGGCGTGTATGGTCTTGCGCAATTCTCTTCAATATTAATAATCGTGGATATATTTTAACATTGCCAAATGAATAAACCATACACCTCAATTTAGAATGAAGTCACAGAAATCTATGACATTTATCATCTTGAAAAAGCCGATATTTTTTTTATATTAACCTTCTAAAATGACTTTTTTTTTGGCTATTTCAAAATATTTTGAGCATTATGTATATTAATCTTTCAAAAAATGGCTACCACATATTGTTTTGGTCCTCATGGATGTATTAAACAAACCTGGTTAAAATATATTGAGAACTGACTTCATAACAAAATTGAAATTGTAAAGGGATTTCATGACATATTAATCTTTCTAGAATTGCTAATTATTTGCATTTTTCAAAATATTCTTAGCATTATGTGCACTGTATTAACATCCATCATGTAAGTTCTAGAATTTAAACTGGTTTTGGCTCAAACTCTGTTAATCAATTTTATTCATTTTTGCTCTTTTAGATTCTGTAAGAATCAAGTGTACTTGCTGACTCCAATTTCTCATATATTTTATTTCAATTTTATTAATTCTGAAATAATTTTATTATAACCACTGATTACTATATATGCAGGTGTCAGTTGTAGTCTTAAATAAATTTATTGAATGGTGAAAATATGAATTTTGTATGAAGAGAGAGGAATGCTCAAAATGGATACGAAAGTCTTAGATTACCATGTTTACTTATAAGATCGGCGAACATGGTAAAAGAATCTACCATATTCAAGTAGATAGCAATTACATATTTATCTTGGGGGGGGGGGGGGAGTTGATAAGATGGTTGAAAAAATTTCAGCAAAATTTCTGGAACCAGAGATATCATGGTATCTGGCATCGTGCACAAAGCTTTTATTGAAGTTAATGAGCAAGGTACCGAAGCCGCTGCAGCAACTGCCTACTGTTTTTAACAGACCTTTTACATTTGTAATAAAGCATAATGCTTCTAACACAATTCTTTTCATGGGCAAAGTTGTGAACCCTAAAACTTCGTAAAAGGCTTGAAAGATGAGGATATTTCTGAGAGTGCTGTGGATATTCTTGAATAATTTCCGGGAAATTTTTTTAATAATCTTAATCCTCAAGCAGGCCAAAAGCTCACCTCGTATATATCTACTTACATTGACATCGAACTATTTTCTTGCGCATAATGCATCGAGGTGGCGCACAACCTGAACACAGTATGCAGGTGCGTGCTAGAGCACCGGTTCTCGACCAGTGAGTGGGCAATGTCCCGCCGCTGCTTGTTCACAGAAACATTTTCAAGTGGGCCACAAACCTTAAAAAAATTGCTAGAGGTATCGATAAATTAGTATAATTTGATTGTAGTAGCAATGTATGATGATGCTGTTTCGAAAATTGCGTGGCAAATTTTCATTCAAAAATTTGAGGTGTCTATTTTTGGATTTCTTGTTATTTTTCCGAGCATGGGAAAGTCAATAGGCCGCTAAATTTTCGTGCAACGAAATTGGGCCACGAAAGATAAAAGGTTGAGAACTTTGCTAAAGCTTCGAAACAAGCAATTAAGGTAAATAACACTAAAAAGTCAAACATTTGTTGTAAGATGAAAGCTGTAAAGTGTTCAATCAAGAACCTGTAACTATTGCTGTTTAATATTCATATCTAGCAGACACCCACCCGATGTAAATATCAAAAGTAAAACGTCAGTCGCACGGTCGGGAAATGCCTTGCGTGATTTCAAAGAAAATGACACTCAATAGAAAACTGTTGACGCCGTACCTGAGCTCTGTGGGCCCTATAAGTCTATAGGATTCGTTTTTGTGTGTGTTGACGTCATCAAAATTGAAAGTTGCGTCGAAAGTCCTTGTAATTGGAATCAGATTAAAAAAAATCGGAAAGAAACCCAAAGAGGCCGGGGGGATTACATAAGTTTCCCTTTATAGAATGAGGTTTAGGCAAATCACAAAAAAAAGAATTCAAAAATTCAAATTTTCCAGAAACTATTATACCAGTGGCTCTCAAGCTTCTTAAACCGATCCCCCTTTTTAGAATTTGTCAAGTCTCGCGCCTCACCTCTAAAATAACTAAATTTTGATTCCATCATTATGTAGGCTACCTGTACTTGGTGTTGTGTTGTCTCTAATTATATATTTTGTCTTGTCTTACAAACTCCCCTGTATAAACAGTTTTGCATACTCCACCCTTACCACTTTCACCACACCAACCAACCCACTTTGCACAACTGTCTATATAAAAAACATATTCTACATCAGGGCGGCCCGCAGAACCATTTTAGCGTATACTACTAAACCTTTGGCAGATCTTTGTATTTATTAGCAGAACAGTTTTGATTTATTTTTAAACATTTCCAACTGGAAATAGTTCTTTTCCTAATCCCGATGTCGGGATTGATGTTTGTTAAAATCACGAAATTTCATTGTTGAATCTATAAACGTCAAGACGTCAGTGGTTCTCAATCTGAAGAGCAGTTTTGAATTATTGCAAGAATTAACTTTTGAGTTGGCTAAAATATGGCGAAAACGCTTTATCATCCATACTTTTACTGTGTGTGTGTGTATTCGCTGAACGGGTTAATAGCGCTACGAGTATAGCGCTATGGGCTATACGGATCTTGTCTTGAGATCACCCTCGACCGCTACTTCCCACCTAAAACGAAACGATGATTGAAGCCTTTCAGTTCTGACGGCAAACAATGCAAATGCTCTCGCGTTTTTGCACGCAATTAATACGTTATTACTGCATAAAATTATTTAGTTGAAACTTTGCACTGTGGTCTAGAATTGATGTAGTGCCATATAAAATACTCCCATAAAGCGTTTATTTTGCCATTGGTCCCAAGCCCAGAAGGGAGTTTTGTCGGTAGTACGTGACCAGAGTAAAAAACACAATTTCCTATTGTCATGTTCTATTGTCATGTATTACTCTTTTTATCTGTTTCCTCTATTCTTTTTTTATTATCTTAAGGTGCTGTAGACTCGATGACGGATCATTCTGTCCTTCACAGCACCTGTTATTTCAGTATCCTTTTTATTATTATCTGGGCCCTAACTTGCACGTACTTGGTTGTTTTTTGACGGTAGCACTAGGCCTGCTCGCGCTACAAGTAACAATTTTTTTCAAATATAACAATTCATCATACAATGAGTGTGGAAAAAAGGTGACCGAAGTAAACTGAGACTAAACGTATTTCCTTACCGACAACAACGTAAAACCACAGTGTCTGGTGTGTTTTCAAGTAATATCCGTCACGAAAAAATATAATTTTAAGCCGCATTACAAAACCAAACACGAGAAAAGATACCGAAAATACCACGATATTTCTAGGGGAGCAATTGATAACAGGGAAGTCATTATTGTTGGAACTAATAATCGTTGTGTCCACCAGGTGGAACTCCATTTATGAAATGTTATTGAGACTTAATGAACTGAAATGGCACATCCGTGCAGTGGTATCTGAACTCAGAGAAGGTAATTGAAGGTAATTATCACATCCTGGAATAAAGTAACATTACTGGGAATTTTGCAAAATTTATTGCCAATTCTACAGCCATTTAAGGTAGCTACAAAATTTTTGGAAGGCAACATTATATAACCTTCCTTGTCATCCCCAAAGCCCATATATACCCGGTTATCCCTAAAGCCAGTACTCAAAGATAAGTGTTGCTAACCTTGATAAAATACAAGAATTGTTGGGTTTCGGAACACAGTTTTTGGCGTGTTGAATTCATACTTTGAAATATGTCTAAAAGATGACGGAAGTACATCATTTGATATTGCATATGCCTTGGATTCAAGATACAAAACAGAATCCATGAAGCAAGATGCATCAAAAAAAGTGAAAACTTGTTGCAATTAGAAGTGGAAAATATTTACACCTCAGAGATGGAACAGCCCACAGTCCAGCAGAGCGGAATGACAATAGAACTACTTGAATAAAATAATGAATCATGTATTGAAAATCTGATCAACGACGGTATGGACAGTTCTGAAGCGAGTGGCGGCGATATTTGTGAATTGACTAGGGAGATGGAGGTTTCAGCTGAGATTTCAAAATATTTAAATGACAGATATATTGGCATATCAGTGACCCAAGAAGAAATCATGCAATGGTGACAAAGAAATGAAAAAGTGTATCCAAACATCGCAGTTTTCGTACTCTGCATCTTAGCAACATCCACTGCATGCGAAAGAGCGTTTAGCTCAGCGGGTCTTACCGTCTCCAAATTGAGATCGAGACTCACAGCAAGACATGTGAATCAATTAAACTTTTTACATTGTAAAATATTTTTACTATGACTGTCATTTTTTTAACATACATATGGTTTTGTTATTAGAATTCTTGTTATAAAAACTTTCTCATTAGTCATTACCTACTGGCGAATGAACCCTTCCTCGATCTTTGACCCCCGAAAAATTTCTATACTTTACCATTGCAAAATTTTCGGGGCTATTTTAAGAGTGCTTTTGCGAGTTGGCGCCTGTAAAATGGGATACAGGGGTATGTGTTTCAAACAATCATTATTAATCATCGCACACAACAACCGGTTTTTTTAAAGTACCGGTAAAGAATTTTGGCGCGGCGGTGTGGCTCAACGGGCTAAGCGTTAGGAATACGCTCGTCACCGCACCTCTAATTACTCTGCGTGGGTTCGCAGGTTCGAATCCCATGCAGGGATGGTTATGTGCGAGAGGATTGCTGGACTCCTCGCCGTCGTTGGGTGGTTCACGTAACCGCTGGTCGGTTACGGCTTCCTCCACCACCAAGTCCATGCTTCCGAAAAAAACAAACAATACAGTAAAAAACTAATCCCATACCCGACTTGGAATGGTAACCGGACGAGAGGCCGTGGTTCGCCATATGGATAAGCCGTCTTATCGGCTTTCCTCTCCCCCGGGATAAATATGTAAAATCCTATCCTAGCCCAGTCTATCACAGCTATTTCTACACTAATTTTGTATTACTGCAATTAAATCCAAACTTCTAGGAAGACAGAGTGATCATTGAATTATCTGATTTATATTTAAGTTTCCGAAACACAGCAGAAAACTAACGAATAGAGTTCAAAATCGCGAAAACCAGGTAATGTTTACGACCACGCTTGAAAATCTGTCTGAGGGAGAAAAGTGTCTGAGCGGATGCGAAAAGGGAGCATTGTTACGTCACTTTTTGCATTTTGCTGATTGGCCAATTTCACGAAGTAAATAAGGAAGTCGATGCTCGGGGAAAAGTCCATTGCTTTGATGTTTTTTGCTAGAATGCTATTACGTTTAATTTTTTAAAAAGTTCTTGTGGGATCTAAACGATTCGTTTTTGCCCGATTTTGTTATTATTATGTTGTTGTTATAATTCTTGTTATAGAAAAATATATTTACTCATCACTTCATCAGTCATAACATGCTGGACCAAATGCTTTGATGTTTTTAGTGGTTAAAATTGTATTTTTGGAATCGTATAAGAATCGATTACTTAGCAGTCATACTTAGCATCCTTACTGGTTAACTGTAGGCCTAGACTGCCGCAATTTTTTAAATGGATCGTGTGGTGTAATATGACAGTACCAGGTCCAGGTCACCCATCATATCTCCAACCCAGTTGTTCCATCCCAGCAGATGAAACCTAGAGGTCATCGACTGCTAGATTACCCTGATTCCTGGAGATGCTCCGTAAGGGGAAAGGGAACGTCCGCCCGGCAAAGGGACGATGATTTCATCAGAAATGAAGTGCCCAATTCACATGGCCCTGTGGCAGTGTGGTCGGCGAGCGACAACGTGGAAAACTGAAAAGATTGGTGACGGAACGGGGGTTAGAGAATCCCTACACAGCTTGTGGGATTGTGGCTAAAATGGCACGCAAAGAGATCGTAGGAGGTAGATTGCAGATTGGCGGAGTAAAGGTGAGTTACTTGACTTTGTGCATTTATAGTCGGTACTGGTATATTGTACCCTTTCTTTTTCCGGTGCACGTGTGAAGAGGTTTGTGCTGGACTTCGAAGCCGCAACGTGGCAAGCACTTTCTTCAGTATGGTCGGACGTTGAAAAGCAGGGCTGCTCTTCTCACTTCACCCAGGCCATAACAGCATAATGAAGAATGTGCGCCACAATAGTTTGGCTCGCCTATACAATAAAGGAGTAGTTAAACATATTTATATATGTCCTTGTATATGTCTACGGAGCGTTATCTGTGAAGTGTGAACTCTCTTCTTCGGAGGTGTTTAAGGATCTACGGGCCGCAGTATTGCAAAGAGTAAGTGTGTAACGCAACAAATTTTCCCATAGCGTTTAGTATTCAAATAAAATTCATTATTCGTGACGAAAAAGAAAACAAAATCTTTCTTTCGGTAAATTTCCTCATAGCGTTTAGTATTCAAACAAAATTCATTATTCGTAACAAAAAAGTAAACAAAATCTTTCATCCATCCATATCCAGTGCCTATCTGTTCCTGGTTTTCTTCTGCAAAAAGAAAATTCCAACTCTATGACTGAAACCTTGTCGTGGTGAGTTGGCTTACAACTAATATCAGTCGGCACTAAGTAAATGCTATACTAGTAGAACTCTTGAGCATGCGTTGTCCGTGTAGTCGAGTTGTCCGTGTAGTCGAGTTGTCCGTCAGCCACTGAAAACATGGTCGGCAAAATGATCTAACTTAGGATAGGATAGGATTTACATATTTATCCCGGGGAAGAGGAAAGCCGATAAGACGGCTTATCCATATGGCGAACCACGGCCTCTCGTCCGGTTACCATTCCAAGTCGGGTATGGGATTAGTTTTACTGTATCGTTTGTTTTTCGGAAGCATGGACTTGGTGGTGGAGGAAGCCGTAACCGACCAGCGGTTACGTGAACCACCCAACGACGGCGAGGAGTCCAGCAATCCTCTCGCACATAACCATCTATCTAACCAACTTATCTACCTTTTATGTTCTTAATTAATTTGTCAGTTTGTATTCACATTCCCGTTGGTTTGCACATGTAATCAAGGGCGCTAAGAAGTCTCAGAGACCACTTTGACTTTTTTGAATCGAACTGTCTCGCTAAGTCGCTAGACTGGTTTTGATGGACTTGTAATCAGGCCTATTCTGTTGGTGGGTTAGCGCTTAAAGCAAAGGTTCCCAAATGGGGCCCAGGAGCAGTCGGAGGGGGCCACAATGCTAGGAGCAAAACTGATTTTACTTTTTGCTTTACATGAAATCTCCATGTTTTTCCCAGTTTCATGGCTTGATAGGGTCTTCTTGCAGGTTGTTTGTCATTTGGTCAGTCATGAATTGTTTGTACATAATGGGATTTGGAATCTATTAATCAGAATAGAGAGAGGGAGATTTATTGGGATTTACATATTTATCCCGGGGGAGAGGAAATCCGATAAGACGGCTTATCCATATGGCGAACCACGGCCTCTCGTCCGGTTATCATTCCAAGTCGGGTATGGGATTAGTTATATTGTTTGTTTTCGGAAGCAGCGGTTACGTGAACCACCCAACGACGGCGAGGTGTCCAGCAAAATCTTCTCGCACATAACCATCCCTGCATGGGATTCGATTGATTTGTCAACTAACACTGTAAATACCCCTGAAATGATAAACAGGGGGCCATGAGTGCTGAAATCCTCTGGAAGGGGGCCACGATCCATGGTAGGTTGTGAACCACTGGTTTAAAGCATTATAATTAATTATGATGGCATCACAGGTTATTGAAATCTTGGATTCACATCCCATACCCACGGCCACAACAACCTAATCCTAGGATATGAAATAGCAATGTAGAAACCAAAAAATCCTGGTTCTTTCAATAAAAGTAGCTTGTTAGATATCAATGGCCTCTTGTGCAGAGCATTGTTCAGGAAAAAAAACAACGCACAAATTTAAAAGACAAACTTTAATTACTTATCCTCATTTTCAGGCATGTTTGTAATCGGTATAATCTTGACGATGAGATCTGGGACTTTCTCGACATATTCGACGGATACTCAGCTGTGTTCGGACTTGTTTCCGTCGCACTCTTCGAAACAATTGCAGTTGCTTGGGTCTTCAAACTAGTGAAGTGAGTGCTTTATACTTTGATTTCATTTTTGTATTGAACTTTGAATAGAGCAAGACTTTAAGCCTGGTGTGCGCAACCATTATTGATACAGGAGGGGCGGATAAAAATAACACAAACTTTCTAGAGAATATTTCTGCTTTTCAATTATGTTTTTCATGATGCAAGGATGCCTAGTTGCGTAGGACTTAACTAAATTGCCATCACCGTATCTACCACATCACTCAGGTGTAATGAAGTGGGTAAGCAATGCCGAACCAAGAAGAATCCGTGAACTAAAGCAAATCCCTATGGAGCAGTGGCAGATTGTGCGGAGCCTTGTTCAGAGCAATACTCAAAACGAGTATAAACATGTCATGTAAAAAATATTGTTTTGACAAATAACCTGTCTACTTTTTTTATTCCGTTTTTCAGCTTCGAAAATGAGAGAATGATTCATTCAACACCGTCATCATGATTGGAAGCTTCGTGGACATGTTCTTCAACCCTCTGCTCTGTTACTACGCTTGGAACAAAGACACCGACTCGAAAGACGAGTTATCTTATCCACCATGGGCCGTGTTTATATAATGGTAATATTGATACTAAGCTCGATGTTCTGTAATCCATTATTTGGGGGTCTTGTACGTTTTGGAATTTTCGACCCGATTTCTAACAGGAGAAATAAAAGAGCTGAACAGAATGATAACGAGGCATATTAGTAAATATCAGGGGTAGGCTGGGCATTTTCGAATATCTGTTGATTTCAGAATCGAATGTTTTTTCGAATCGAATCTTGAATACTTCGCAGTCAATGGGAGATATGTAATTGTATGAGTCTTTTTTACTGTACTGAATGAATGTCAACAAATGATTTACTGAAAACATAGAATTAATCAATAAGACAGATTGCTGAGTGTTCTCACACAATGAAAAACACTTATTTATCAATAACTCAGTACGGAAAATGGTCAAATGTCAGAATTGCATTGAAAAAATATGACTTCAATGAAAAAAAAAAAACATTGACAAGACATCGTCTCATTTGGCGACACACTCTCGTATTCAAGCACCGAATTTTTCGTTTGAGTAGCGCAGTATTTTTTGGTCGACTACTGACTTGTTTAATGATCAAGTCGTTTGGCTACCGAGGTGTCACTGTACTTTCTTTAATATTGTTTTCTATGAAAGCTTCAGTATGATAGCTAATCTGGTATGAACCTTTAAAAACCAAGTTTTTCACAAAATTGATCTTTAGTTGAGCGGCAGTTTGTGGGTTTATAATCTATGACAAAATTCTGTCGAAATCACAATGCTTCCAACAAATACACTACCTCTGATTTATATACTGTGCTTAGATACCTTGAAATTTATTTTTCCATCTATTGTACAATGTTTTACCCTGTTTATATTTGCTATTGATTCTTCTGTGTCTGCTTTCTATTGAAGCTTTTTCTTATTTCCCATTGAAATGTATTGTTTTTGTCTTGTTCTTAATTGTTTTAAATGATTTTTTTTCTGTGATTGGCACAAGATATTTATGCTAGTTTTTACTGATCCAAAAGTCGTTAATATTTGAATCCGTTCCAAATCATTCAAAACTTGATATTCTACAATATACACAAGTCTTTTGTAAAACTTATGAACGACTTTCTCTAATATACCCAATTTGCTATTCCAACCAAGGTTATTTGTTTTATTGTTATTTTCCAATGAAGCTCTCTTTTCTGTTTCCCATTGAAATGTAGTGTCTGTTTCACTTTTATATATTTGTCGTCTGAATCAGTTTTGTCACAATCCCCAAACTTCAATCTAAAGCAGTGATTCTCAAATTTTTTAAGCCACGTTTTTAGAATTTGTCAAGTCTCTTGCCCTACCTCAAAAATAACTAGCTAACAATAAGCTACGTGGGGCGAAAGTATGTTTTATTCAAAAAACCACGTTGGAAATACAAGGATGGAATGTAAATAGAAAAATGAGGGCAAGAGCAAATCCAACATATTTTTTTATTTTAATTAGCTTCAAGCTCCTTCAAAAAATTGTCTATGCCCTTCTTGTGGGGCGTGGGCCGTTGTATGAGATCTAAAGTCAATCTAAATTGCCACTGGTAGAGCATATAATCGAACCAATTACCGTCCTATACACATAACCTTACACTCAAATTGGAATGAAAACTATCGCTCCTTAGAATATCTTTATTTTTGAGTAAAGACTTGAAGTTGTTGAGAAATCTGTGAAGTTGTTGAAAAATCTGTGAACGTCCTGTGTAGACATCTTGCTAAACCCTATAAAACTATGCTGCATTTTATTGCTTCTAATGATAAGTTCGCCCAAATGAATTTTATTGGACACGTTTAGTGGACATAACGATCGTTTCAATATTATGTTGTTATTGTTATTTGTCTCCATCATTTTTAAAAAATTGCTTTTTTCTTGGAATACTGGACCAATTGCTTTGAAATTTTCAGTGGTTAAAGATAAAATTTTTCTCCAGAAGGCTATTCCTTTATTTTTCGCTATGACGTCATCAAAATTATTGCCATTGGGTGGCGCTACGTGTCCATATATTTGAGCATAGCTCTCTTGTTTATATTCATATTCTATATATCCTTTTATAATGAATTTAACATTTTGTGTCACAATTTTACTAAATATTTGCATATCTCCAAAGACAGACTGTCACCTCACCCTGGAAGATAGCAAAATTTTCTATGTGTCCATTTGGAAAAGCCCTATGCTAAAGTAACGACTTGCCTAGTGCCTTCTTAAGAGCATAGATCAGGCTTGGCAGAAAATCGAAGCCCTGTCAGATCTGCTCGTTCAGAGACTTCTTTATAGCATGGATCAATCCAAGCTAGAGAATTCAAGCTCAAATTTAGGTTGTATTTTGCTTATGTTTATACTTGTCCAAAGCATTGCTCAGAAAACCTGTTAAGCAATAAGAATCACGAGCAAAAGCTCAACCAAAAACTGTTTTACCTCCAAATTTTTTATTTTTTTTTAATATTGTCTTGTTTCTTATCGATCTTGATCGGTAAGTATCTTGATAGGTATTTGTATGTCTGTGTGTTAGATGCACGCGATATCTCACGATAGCGAGGTTCAATCTGCTCCAAATTTTGCATGTGCATTCATTTTAGCTCGGATCAGAAGCCTATTGATTTTGGATGGCTTATGTCGTATAATTAGCGAGTTATTAATTAATTAGTGATAGGACACATGGTGTCACTATGGAGTAAGACCACTGTTTTGGGGGGATCCCCTGACCTTAGATCGATAAGTCTTCGGTTTCCAACCGAATTCTAGATTACAACCTTGATTCGAGCCTAGCAAGAGACCTATACTCAAACCCGTGTTATTTTATGTTACGCTATCTGCTTATCGATCGACCCCCCCCCCCTCCCCCACTTTGAAATGTTAAAAATTTAGGCATCTTTCTGTATTATGCATAACTTTTCGTAGCTTGAAACGCTTTTTGAACCCTAAAGACTCATGAAGACCCATGATTTCAGCCTAACTTGGAAAAAAAAAATTAAGAACCCTTCCTTTGAAAATTTCTGGCCCTGGTTCTGTATGCCTTCTGTCTGCTTAACCAAATCCTTGTTTAGAAAGCGGATACGAAACACCTCAAGGCAATAAGATCCCGTCCAATTATGGCCTATCAAGTGAGGTCATTATAATTTGAAGCAATGTTACCCAGTTTTCAATGTTAATTAATACTCAAAAATACATAATACCTCAACTTTACACAAAGTTCCTTAAAAAGTGCAAAAATATATTATTTATTTATGTAGAACATTTGGCGCTCCCGTAGTATGTGTACCAAGACCTGATAACCCCAACCTGGTACACATACTATGTTCAGGTTGTGCGCCATCTTGGTACACATACTACGGGAGCACCGAAAATTTGGCGAAATATTAGTATTTTTGCTCTTTTGTGTGCCTTGTATTATATTAGATTTGAAAAATGTTCTTTGAAATGCTTGTTTGTGAAGGAATCCGTGAATAAATTGGAAAAAGACGATTTTCGAGTGTTTTTGCTTAATTATGATGTCACTTCAATGCTAGTTCTGCAGGAATATAACCCTTAAAGTTTTACACTGATATTATCATGATTCAAGCCTCCATATACCCCAATGTAAGGCCAGGGAGCGAGAAAAAAATCATTCTGTGGGAGAGGAAAGCAGTTGAGACGAATTAAAATGTTGAAATATAATTCAAAGCCTTACAATTCAGTAATTATTTTACAATTAGTAAGCTTGAGCTTTATACTCCCAAGTCCGTCCGCCATTATTAGACCAGAACAGGAGGAACTTAGAAACATATGGCGAAATTAGAATTTCGTATATATCTATCAATATCTAACTAACAGCCAATCATAACGCGTATTTCAAGTCACGTGATCGGCGCAGAACCCCATTTGCCATGTTACAGCCATGCGCAGACGGACATCTTGACAGGAAGTCCAACCCCTTAGCCGGAAGTTCCTAATTGCCATGCGCACGAAAATACACAACCCCCATTGGCTGATTCAAAATTTCTCAACCTGCGCAGTAGATTACCGGTCATGTACTTGCCATGCGCGAGATTTTTGAAGAAATGACAGTTGCCAGATATTTATTGAACGGTCTGATTCAGAATTGAAACGTTCAAAAACGAAATTCTGAAATCTGGCAACCGTCAAAAACGGTTAATTTCCGCGCATGACAAGTGCATGTCCGTTTTGGTACTGCGCAGGTCACGTGATTTCATACTTTTCTGATTGGTCGATTTTTGTCCAATTGAAATATTCCTTTATTGTATTAGGTTTTAAGGACCCCGCCCTCGTTACTATAAAAATAATGAGAGAACTGCTAGCGTTTGGAGGAATCTTCAGCTAGATTACATGAACTACACTTTCCCCCGAGATTGAAACAAATCATACATCCTTGCACCATTAAGCTGCAGAAACAAACAAACGCCGTGCAAACATAGGCTATACCAACTAACGCTACAGAATAGATATGATTTCAAACACCACTGCAGAAAACAAACGCGCGAAACAGTTCACGGCAGACCAGCGAGTTATACCAGCAGTTTTGGTCGAGCGACTTTGTCACGTGATTATGACGTCACGCGAAATTAGAGAATATAAATCCTATATCTAAAACAAAAGCATATCTGATGATTAATTTCCTCCATTATGTATTAATAATTATCCACTATTCTTTATTACTCTAATTGCTTCTAAAATTTCGAACTTGTTTTCTTTCTCGCCCAAATGTTATTGATGTACCCAGAACTGCTACCCTTTGGCGGTTGCTGGGAATTCCCCTTCTGTTACCTGAAATTTGTAGCGTCATGTTGTTTTTTCTTTGCGCTCATCGGAGCATGACGTTAATATGCTAAAACTCCTCTAATCAGTAATCTCCCGACTCTCTCGATTGATTTTGCCAAATTGTATTCTCAATTTTGTTGAAAAATAATTGGTTCATTTTATTTGACGTCATCTGTTGTACTCAGCAAACACGGTGTCGCTGACACGATGACTCTGATAGTCTTTGGCGGCCCCGCGTCAATTGTGGAAATATTGTAGGTCTCCTTATTTCAATTGATCTTTTTGTTACAATTTTATTTATTATTTGTGTAAATACAATATTTCATGCACGACGGAAATAAAATATCTGAATCTGAAATACCTCTTCAAGTATTAAGAAAATCACAGCAGTGAATGAAATAAAGATTTATTTGTTGAAACACCAATTTGAACTTGTATATATGCTTACTTACACTGAAAAAACACAGACAAATCAAGATTTCACATCACTTTCTTTAAGAGAAATAGCTCAAAAGCATGATCACATATCTCACTCAGAAGAAAGGAGCCTCTTTTTTGGAGAAAAGTAAGGGAAACCCCTAAATTGCCAAGAGCTAGTTATGAACTGTGTAGAGAAAATGTCTATTGATGCGAGGCTCGAAGGAGTTCAAGTAAAATTCGGACTAGACAATAACGCTAATACTATTATTCAAACATTGCTTATATCTATCCAGTATATATCAAAAACGGGGGGCACACAACATCATTTTAGGAAATTAATTGATACTTAGTGAGTGATGCACTTCAAGCCTAAATACTGTTCTAACAATGTCTATCACGGCTTTTTCGAAAATTAAAATTAGAAGCCCGACCGACTCCGGTACACATAAATTAAATTTCTTAGTGATGCAATGTATTTTCGCAATATTCATAAGTTTAATGTAATGTTGCAGCAATTAATTACAAATTAATAAACTAAACTTTTGAAAGAATGGTCGCTGAAAATGAACTGTGACGGTCAGTGCCTTGAACAAAATGTCTTCTTCATAGACAGCAATATCATTTCTCTCTTAAACTTCTTTGAATAGCTTCACGGAGTTCCGGATCCATGTCCATACCGGAAGGTTGTGCTGCCTGAAAATAAAAAAAAGTGTCACACTAGATGCATTTCCGGCAAGGATATTGAAACAAACCTAATGTTGAATTTGATCATGGATACTGGAAATGGAGCTCTTCAGTGCCTTGTGCACAGAGAGAAGGAGACATATAAAGTCTTCAACCATTTTATTGGTTTTGGACAAAGATGATGTTAATTGCAAATTGCAATTAAGAATTTGTAAAAGACATCCATTATATATTCACTTGGCTAACACAGACAGTCCCGAACTCGTAACAGAACTAAAATAAGGAAAATCAGGATAGGATTATGGCCTAACCCTAACCTGGTACACATACTACGGGAGCATCGGGTACTAAAGTACAAAGATTGATTATAGTGTGCACTGTGTAAAGATAATTAAATCTGGATTTAAAATTGTATTCAGCATCTGGTTATTTTAAAATGAAACCAATATTTATCTCAGCATTCCCTAACCAAAATTTTTACATGATGCATATTTATACCTTTCATTCCAAACAAAGCATCAGGTACTAAAGTACAAAGATTGATTATAGTGTGCACTGTGTAAAGATAATGAAATCTGGATTTAAAATTGTATTCAGCAACTGGATATTTTAAAATGAAAAGAAAATTCCTCTCAGCATTACCCAACCAAAATTTGTACATGATGCATATTTATACCTTTCATTCCAAGGCTCTCTATAACTAATAAACTAGAATTCGGTTGGAAACCGAAGACTTATCGATCGAAGGTTAGGGGATCCCCCAAAACAGTGGTCTTAATCCATAGTGACACTGTGTGTCCCATCACTAATTAATTAATGACTCGCTAATTATACGACATAATCCATCCAAAATCAATAGGCTTCTGATCCGAGCTAAGATGAATGTACATGCAAAATTTGGAGCAGATTGAACCTCGCTTTCGTGGGATATCGCGTGCATGTAACACACAGACATACAGACAAATATCTATCAACACACTTACCGATCAAGATCGATAAATAATAATATAGGGTGTCCATAACGTCTTAAAATTTTTCAAAATTGCAAAGGGAATTAATGGATACCATGAATTGTTTTGGCCCTCACAGATGTATTGAATGAAGTGAAAACACTTGAACAATTACTGATTAGGAAAAGAAAAAAAACTGGTTAAGATATATTGAGAACTGACTTCATAACAAAATTGAAATTTGTAAAGGACGGTCAGATGTGGCGCAGATGCAATAGGCACAATGTAAACTGTGTTGGCAAATTCCATGCCACCTCCTCACTCAGGGTATACGAAATTGGGTAGGAAAGATTCCAAAAAATAGTAGCTTCCCACTATGGCTGGGCATTTTGGAATATCTGATAATTTCAGAATCGAATCGAAGCTAGAATAGATGGAAAATATTCAATTGTATGTTACCTTTTTATTGTTATGGGCTCTCAGGCACATAAATTATTGAAAACCTAGAATCCATCACTCAGACATTTTGCTGAGTGTTCATACACAATGGGAAACATGTTAGAAACTGGATAGAAAAGAGTCATATGTCAAAATTGCATTATAGAAAAAAGGGCTCCAATGAAACAAATTTAACCGCGGCTTTTGGGGGTAAAAAACAAGATGGCGGCGATTTGAGATCTGAAACCGATACGAATAATTTACTATTTGATTTGATCGGAATATTCGATTTGGAATGCCCAGCCCTACTCCTCACATATTGTGAGATATCGGTGTCTGTGTATTCATTGTCTTGTCATGGTAAAAGGCTTTAATAGGCATTACAAAAAAGAAACTAAAAACTGGTATTGAATTCACAGTGTAATTTCCCCAGCACCAGTAAATATTGTCACACAACCTTACCTGGTGATGCATTTCTTGTTGCAAGCTCATCCACGCAGGATTATGGCTCCATTCCAACGCTTTCTCGCTGCTCCTCTCTTTAACGGCTTCAAGTAGTTGATCCATGGTTGACTGGAATTAAACATTATTGTTACCAAACATGACAAAACAAAGCGTGACTTGTGACAAGTTATACTTTCATCTCATCATAGTTGAGAGTGGAAGTCGGATTTCAGACATTTATTGTGATAAACAGAATCTAAAGTTTTTGATATAAAATTTGTTTTTTTATATGACATGTTCCATAGATAATTTAGCAAAATGAACAAGTGACTTTTTTAGATACATCCCTCTTTTTGCCTATTTTGGAACTCTTTATTCTTCCCTTTTCTATGCATAAAACTACAGTATCACTTATCGATCTTGATCGGTATTAGTTTGTTTGTCTGTCTGTTAGACACTTTCGTATCTTACGCGATATCTCACGAAAGCGAGGTTGAATCCACTCCAAGTTTTGCATGTGCATTCATCATATCTCAAATCAGAAACCAACTGATTTTGAATGAAGTATGTCGAATAATTAGCCAGTTATTAATTAATTAGTGATACATGATGGTCTCTGATCGCTATCTCGTTTGTTTATCCTTTGCCAATGTTATACGCATACCAGTTTTTGTACAGTTCAAACACTTACAATATGTGCATAAATAAGTATTACAATAATAATAAAACTTAAGAACATCAGTAATACTATAGTAGGTACATGCAAAACTTGGAGCCGATTCAACCTCGCTTTCGTGAGATATCGCGTAAGATACGAAAGTGTCTAACGGACAGACAGACATACAAACAAATACCTATCAACATACTTACCGAAGAACTTAAGAACATTAGTAATACAATAGTACAGGGTTTCCCAAACTTTTTGCGCCGCGGACCCCTGTTTGCGAGTCTTATTTTTGATGAACACCCGACCTATTTCGTATCAATTTAAGTGCCTAACTAACAAGGAAGGATAACGTTTCCTTTGACGAAATAAACTCATGAAAGTCGGAATCAATACATACTAACGTTAAATACTGATAGGCAAAAAGCAATTCGATAAGATTATGGTACATTTGTATATGTTTCATATCATTTTTTCATATTGTTGCGGACCCCTGGTGCAGTCATCGCAGTTTGGGAAACCCTGCTATACAAAGCAAAATGCCTCCCCGGTTGGAAAACATGGTATAATGACATCCCCTACCTGCATTTGATCCATCTTCGCTAGGAAAACAAGAAAATGAAAATCTGAGAGAGTTTGAACGAATTCATCAGGAGATGAGTTGTCAAAGTATGAAGCCAATGCCTCCATGTTCTGTAATTCACCAAGGGCTTCTCTATTCTCGATGGCAAATTCATTCCCTGGCTTGCTACAGGTGTATTGGGTTTCAATAGCAAAAGCTGCTGGTACCTAAGATATAAGTGAACATTAGGTTAGGATAGGATTTACATTTTTATCCCGGAGGAGAGAAAGGTGATAAGACAGCTTAATCATATGGACAACCACGGCCTCTCTCTGGTTGCCAGTTGGTCGGGTATGGAATTCGTTAGCCAGTTATTTATTTCCGGAAGCATGGGCTTGACATTTCTATTAGATTCACAAATAATTAATTTAAATGAAGCTCTGTAAAAGGCAGTCATTGATTAGTCAAAAGCTACTGCATCAATAGAAAAATTGCCGGTATGAAAATTAATTTTATTAGGTTCACGAACATTACGATGCCATTACACCTAAGGAAATAGTTGTATTATGAAACCACTCAAAAATCGAAACACTCTATGAATCAAGTCCATGCATTTGAAACAATCAACTGGCTAACTAATCCCATACCAGACATGGACTGGTAACCAGACAAGAGGCCGTGGTTCGCCTTATGATTAAACCCTCTTATCATCTTCCCTCTCTCCTGGGATACAAATGAGATACAGTGGGATACAAATGAGATACAGAGTACTTTAAAATAAATTTACATTTGGAAAAAGTTATGCCATTAAAACGACCAAACAAGCTTTGTAATCTGGGTACTTCGTAGACAACATTTTACAAACTAATATGTCTAATAAGTTCATCCAAATAAAATAGAGCGGCAGAAAACAACGAAGTAGCAAAAAATTCATCACAGACCAACAAAAAACTACACTTACATTTAGAAGAAGATATGCCAATGGCAAGGGCCTTGCCAGCTTTGTGATCTCATTTCCGTATTCATCTTTCATTTTATAATAAACATCGGGAACGTATAATTCTTGAGAACTTTCTCGAATGTATCCAAGTTCTGGGGCATCGAGAGTTGGAATGAGGCAGCCATCTCGTACAAGGTCCATGCATTGGTTTGATACCTTGAATATGTAGAATATAAATTAGGGTAAAAAATGAGGATGACTTTTAACGCTCCAGAAGTGTGTGTACCAATATGGAGGGAACTAATTTTGTTCGCCTACTTTACATTAAGTTGTGTAAAGGGACTGAAACCTATGGACAGGGGGGGGAGGGGAATACACACTTGGCTAACACAGACAGTTCCCAAAATCGTAATTGTAATAAAATAAATTCGGAATAAAATTATGGCCTAACCCTAACCTGGTACACACACTATGGGAGTACTGACTTTTGTGCAATATTTAACACCTGCAACCCGAGCACGGCTTTGCGAAAGCATATGTAAGGAGATTTGGAAGAAACTTCAAGTTTGAACGGACAGTAGACTTTTCTGGTCTGGTGTTAATTACACAATTTATCACACTATGGGGGAACCAGACATGATTCCAACAGTCTAACCCAGGGGTGGGCAACATGTTTTGTTTGTGGGTCATATTATCAACCTCAAACTTTTAGTTGGACCACACAAAAAGTTTAGGGGGCTCCCGAAGTATGCGAACCAAGATGGCGGACATCGGAATGTAATATGTGTACTAGGTTAGGGTTAGACCATAATTTTAGGTATGAATACTACGAGAGGCTCTTGGCTAGTCTTCGAACTGATAATAGGACTAAAATAAGGAAAATTGGAAAAAAATTATCGCCTAACCCTAACCTGTTACCCATGTTACGTTCCGATGTCCGTCATCTTGGTTCGCATACTTCGGGAACACTAAGTTTAGTTATTCCACGTACACAACGAATTTATATAATAATATGATAAAGAGGAGTTATGAAAAACTGCAGTACAATGAAATCAGGGATATCCAGATAGTAAACAGAATGCGGCTATCGCCTCCCAGTAATAAAGGCGCCTGACAAAACAGCGAAAGATTTAACGCAGCTACAAGAGCGAAAAAACATTATGCATCTTTACTCATGTGAGCGCCTTTTTAAACATAAACTGTGGGATTAGGATTTTATGCTCGATGAGAAAAAATCTGAGTGTTGACAAGGGCCACACTAAATGGATTGGCGGGCCGGGTTATGGCATGGGTTGCCTGTTGCACACCGCGGTGGTTCTCCAAGTATCATGATCTATGTACCCTTACAAAAACTCTCATAAACTTTCTGCTCTTGAACAAAAAAACTATTTATTACTTGATTTACTCACTTGATATCCTTCAAACGAGATATGATGTTCTTTATCCCCCGAAACAACAACCGTAGCAAATTTCGATCCATAGGTTCCATCTTTCGCGAGTCTGCATGGGTTTCTGTGTTGATTCTGAAACGCTGCTGCAGTGATGCATTCCTCGGCAGTTAGGAAATGAGTTTCTGCGTCACGGAAATGCTTCACAGTGCCTGGAATAAAAAAATAGAAATTTCAAATCTATCCTGGTAGAGAGGAAAGTTTATAAGGAATCCTAATCATTTAGCAAACCATGAATTCTCATCTGGTTACCAGTCCTTGTCCAGTATGGAACTAATTTACCAATTGGACGCATTAATGCCGTAACCAATCAGCAGTGATTCGAACCCCCCTCGCAAATAATTACCCCCCATTAGATTCGAGCGTGCGAAGATCATCTCATACCAATAAATGGGCTTCGTTGCTGTCAGTCGTGCTTCATAAACAAAATCATAGCGAAGTAAAAAATATCAGTAAAATATGTACAAGTCTGGCCAGAATAACCCCATATCAACAAAATGGCTTCAATGCTGTCAGTCATGCTCCATAAATTAAGGTTCGATAGTAAGCGCATTTCTAAGGCTTAGCACGATGTTGTCATTATCGAGTGAACAAACATAACAGAAGGCAACAATACCTTTAGATCTATCCTCAGCAACCAAGTCTGAAATGATCCAACCAACTTTCTGGAGCCCAAGTGCTTTCGCTACTTTCTCCACAATCTCTTGGTAAGGGTCGGGTAGGATCTTCAGCGAGTTAGCCGAGCTTTCCTGTGGTGGCTCATATATTGCACAAACTTCTGCACGAATGCCGAGTGGTACTTCCTAAAATAATAAGGATAGTTCAAAAAAACAAAACTTAAAAAAAAAAGCTGTTCTGGGAAAATGGGGAATTTTAATTTTTAATAAACTCTTCGAACTTTTAAGAAAAATACTTTGTCGTGAACAACACTTAAACTTTTGACTAGAAAACCACTTTTTATAATTTTTTTAAAAGTTCCCAAATTCACCCTTTGTCCTGAAAGCCTCAAATTGTATTGTAAAGAATAATCATGATCTGAATAACCCGGAGAAGCAAAACTTGCAAAAGCTCTTTCACACTTCCTGAATAATATATATATCACTGTCAAAAGCACTCTCAACAATGCATAATATATTGCAAAGCAAAATTATTATTCAAAGACGAGACTTGAAAAAAAAATGTTTTTTTTTAATTTTTCAATCTTTCTTATTTGCATTATATCAAGTATTCCCATCAGGCTATAAAAGGGCAACATCTAGTTTTGCCATTCTGTCAGTGCCTTTGTGACATGACAAGATTTTGCTCTTGTTCGAGTAAGAGAGGTCGCCAAAATATATCGTGGAAATCAAACTTTCCAGAGCAGTTTTGATTCTTTCATCTTAGTTTTATTTTCCCCTCAATTAGAAAAACCAATTCAGTTTGGAACCTGTATAAACACTTTTGTATATCGTTTATCCTCGCATAGCAGCCGAGTTCAAAACTTGACAAAAATGTTGTCAAATTAATGTGTCAGCTTATACGCTCTCACAACTCTGGGACTGGAAAGATGGAGAAGGTGATAGTGGGGATAAATTTTTAGGGATTTTGAGAAACCTCTTACTGTTATTATTAATAAAAGTAAAACAACAATAATGGTGATTATTTTCATTAATACTCTTCTGCAACCATTTGATGTGACAGGTGAGTACGGTGAGTTACAATTTGTAGGGTCGGCTTATATGCAAATTTTTATGAATTCAACGTTTTAGGGTGGTTGGCTGATATGCAAGATCAGCTTATAATATGCAAATTATATATATACGGTAACGATTATATATTTCTTCTTCTTATACCTTATGTTGAGTATATCTTCCATACATAAATCCCATTCTCTGGTTTCCACTATTTCTCCAATAATTCAGGAATCTATCGGCGACTTCTCGATTTTCAAACATAATATTATCAACATGACGAAATTTTTGTTGATTTAGAGTGATTGCCGTTGGAAGGTCGAGGAGAGATCTAAAGAATGAATTCAAAATTGAGATTAGTCTGAAACACAGGTTCTCAACCAATGGAACATGCATGGCCCACTGTTGGGCCAAAGACAGTAATTTATTTGTGTCACTATAGTTATTTTTGATTATAGCAGCAATGAATGACAATGCTGTTTTCTGCTACTGAGTGGTAATTTTAATTTTAATTATTAATGTGAAAGTGTCCATTCTTGTGGGAAGATTTGGTTTTTCTTGTAGTTTTTCCTTTGCATAAAGACGTTAATAGGCCACAGGATTATTGTTAAACAAAAACGGGTCATGATTGAAAATTGTTAAGAACTACTGCTCTAGAATAAATCTAAATAAAATTATTGTTTCAAGAGGCAGCCGTTGTTTACATAAATTTTTTCCGCTAGAATAAACAAACTTGCACATTGCTTTAATTTTGTCAGTAGTTGTATTTAGCTGATCATTCAATACTTTTCAGAGCAATTCGTCTGCGATGTATTCTCGATATGATACAGACAAATTGATTCAAATATTCTCTCTAAATAAATTTTAAGCAATTTCTATGTCAGTATCAATTTCGAAAATAGACTTTTTCCAAATTGACAATTCTCAAAATGGCGATATCTCTAAACTATTTTAAAACTTCAAAATTTGTTACACAAAACGTATTTAACTTAAAATCGTTTCGAATATTCATTTTGGATTTCTCTCGTCACAGATTTCACACGCATACTAATTGGAAGTAACAACCTAAATCAGAGATATGAAACAAAAAATCTCAAACCTTTTTTCTTCGCTAATCCCTTCTAGTTTGCAAGCAGTTCTGGTACTTTCCAGTTTAAAGTATTTCCCTTTGTCCACACCAGAAGTCTGTTGGCGCATGTATGCATGAAACGATAAAAACTTAATATCCTTCGATTTGAGATATGACTCATCCCATGGGTTAATCGGCAAATCATCGATTTTAAACATTCCACCTCTGACAGAACTCTTTTCATTTTGCGGAATCCTACCATCTTGTTTCCATAATTCTACGTCAATTTCGTCCTCTGTAAATTTCACTATGGGCGGGGCTTCGTTTTCAACCACGCCTCCATCTCCAGCTACGTTCATTCCGTCAGTGAAGATAAGATAACACATATCGCCATGTTTCAGTTTTTTGTTACTCAATTTTGATCGTGACCCTTTTTTAAGTTCATTTGTTCGGTCACGATTTTGAAACAAACACCAATTTTCATTTGCAAGAGCAAATTCCTTCGCGACCTTCCCAAGAAATGATGTAACCGTCTCCGAAGATGTTACCTCAACCCGTTTTGTACCATCCTTTGACTGGATTCTAATTATCATTATGGTTTAATTATTTTAATACTATATCTGTAAATTAGCTGCATGGTTAGAAAATTGCATATAAAGCCTAGTTACAAGTGGTAAGGGCCTACGAGGTTTGCATAATAAGCAATATTAGTAAATATAATGTTTTCTTAGATTAGTGATTTTGAACCTTTTTGCAGAGAGTGGCGAACTGTCCAGAGGCTTGAGAAATCCCTGTGCAATAGTTACGGTAAATTGTCTTTTATTGTCAGAACTGTATAGACTATAAATTTGCCTTTGTAAACTTGGTACTGGCAAAGCATAATCTTGAAAGGGTAGCATATTTTTAAAATAGTGGCCAATATTCAAACGAAAATATCGGTCGGAGACCGAAGACTTATCGATCGAAAGTTAGGGGATCCCCCAAAACAGAAACTGCGGTTTCGATACCTTCACTATGACTCAATAGTGACACCGCGTGTCCCATCACTAATTAATAACTCGCTAATTATACGACATAATTCATCCTAAATCAATAGGCTTCTGGTCCGAGATATGATGGTTGCGCATGCAAAATTCAACCTCGCTTTCGTGAGATATCGCGTAACATACGAAAGTGTCTGACAGACAAATACCTATCAACATACTACTGATCAAGATCGATAAGGAATAATTTGCATAAACTTTCTGATTTTAGTAGAAACTTGCGGAACAGCCGGACTGTCTATATTGGTGGAACTGTAGGGTGTAGCAGGAAAACGTTCGAAAACCACTGTCATAGTATATTATGCGTATGCCTCTCAGGTGAAGCGCAAATACTAAACAGAATTGATAAAAACGAGTCTACTTTGGTATAATTTAGGCTCATTACAGAGTGAGAAGTTTGGACAGAATATTCTTATTCAAAATAAAAGGTTTCATTGCTGCCAGTCATGCTTCATAAATTAAATCATACCAAAGCAGAGTTTATGTAAAAACATTAGTGAAAAGAGAAATATTTCAAATATGAAGTCTAGCCAAAATTGTCTCCTACTCAAGGTCTAAGAGGGTTTCGTTGCTGCCAGTCATGCTTCACAAACTGAATCATACCAAAGCAAGGTGGCTTACTTAATTAACAAAATATATTTATTCTAAAGATGAAGTCTGGCCGGAATATTCTAATACTAATGAAAGAATTTCTTTGCCGCCAGTCATGTTTCATGATTTAAAATGAAGAAAATTGTTAACTAGTGCTATGATAGTGTTTATTACTATTTCTAAGGCAGTATACTACTCTAATAAAATTGCATACACAAAAATATAATCAGTAAGTAGCATTGTGTGAATCTTTATAGGCCATGTAGAGCCACTGTCACACATCAGCGAAATCCTACATAAAAATATACGATGCCATAAAAGTGTGTTCCCACTTTGCGAAGTATTTCTAATCAATAGCCACGGAAACCCTAACCCTAACGAAATTTTAGACCTCATTTGCTTAGTGCAATTAAATTATTTTTTATTCATAAATTTTATGATGAAACACTTTTCATGACATCGTATTTTTGAGCAGCAAGATTTCGCTAGCATTTTGCTAGCGTGACAGAGGTCACGTAGACTATATATTTATTGGTAGGCTATTCAATATTCACCATAAACCGGCGGTGTGGCTCAACGGGCTAAGCGTTAGGAATACGCTCGCCACCGCACCTCTAATTACTCTGCGTGGGTTCGCAGGTTCGAATCCCATGCAGGGATGGTTATGTGCGAGAGGATTGCTGGACTCCTCGCCGTCATTTCCTCTCCCCCGGGATAAATATGTAGATCCTATCCTATCCTTTTCATATAACAGTATAATGGGTAAATCATTGGTTACCGATAGCCTGATTAACAAACAGTTAATTATATTTTTCTAAAAAATAAAACAAATTGGCAAAATATAAGAAATCATCAAAAGAAATAAGAAGCACCAGTGGTAGATAGAAGCAGGCTATGGAACTGGAGTAGAGAGTATCGGCATAACAGCGAAAGGATTGCTAGACTTTTCAATGCTGTACAGTAATTCACAAAACTGCTGGTCGGTTACGGCTTCCTCCACCATCAAGTCCATGCATCTGAAATAAATGACTGGCTGACTAATCCCATACAGAACCAGGCAGTCCCGAAACAAACATAGGCATAAAACATAACAGGTGAATGACTTACTAACTAGGCTATACAACTAAGAGTTGACAACTTGAAGAAATTAGATTTTTTGCATAAGAATCAAAATTCTAATCCATGATGTAAAATCAACCATAATTGCAGTATCCAGAAATCAAGGTGTAAAATATGTACAGTCATTATTCAAAAAAGAGCAATATTACCACAAACACTTCCCACCTGGAAAATAGGAGTGTTCCCATTACAAGCAATTCTTACCTCACTCACACAATGAGGAAAAATTCAAATGTCAAAAATTTAATAAAGCTGAATTTTTTAAGGGTACTTATGAGTCTTGTTAAAAATCACATACACTTCCCACCTGGAAAATAAGAGTGTTCACATTGCGAGCAATTCTAACCATGCTCACACAAACATGAAGACATGGTCAGAAATTTGAATGCCGAGATTTTAATCCATCTGCAATTTGTGACTACTCCTATAAAACCACAAACACTTCCCATCCCTGAAAATATGAGTGTTCCTGTTACTAGCAATTCTAACCACGCTTACACAAGCACATGAGCAGAAACTTGAATGTCGATATTTTATTCCAGCTGCATTTTATGAATAATTGTAAGTCTCATTTGTGACCAAGAACATTTTCTACACAGAAAAAAAGAGTGTTCCCATTGTGAGAAAGTTAACCAAGATCCACTTTTCCAATATTATCCAAGTTTCCTTGGTTGAATATATATCATGGAGGAAAAAATCAGGGATTGAAATGAAGGAATTGTAGGTAGGAAAAATACAATGATTTAAAGAACTGGAAATTCAGAAAGTTCACACAGTTTTATTATCACGATATATGAAGTTTGATATAAAAAAATTGCAGAATCATTAAAAACATATAAGATTTTTATTATTTATCTCAGGAGAAAAAAGTCAATAACGAACATAATTATAAGGCAGATATAGAATCTCATGAGGGAAATAGCTGATCAGATAGTCATTCCAGATTCATGGACATGAAAATATAAACGAGCAAAATAAATTTTTATTGTTGGATTGATTTAGAATTGAAATTTGAAAAGTCTAAATGGATTTCGATATAAAAACAATTGCATAATTGGAAAAAACAGTTTTCACTGAACTTTTCATATTTGCACTGGGAAAACAAGAAAATGGATAAAGCGGTTCAACAAGACATAAAAATTGTCCATTTAATATAACTGAAATAAGATATGAAACAAAATATCTAAGAAACAGAAATCTATACGCAATGGTCCCATGGTTATATCGCCATGTGAAAACAAATTAAAAAGGGGAAAGGTGTTGCTGATGATTTGCTATAGGCTCGGCGGTGTGGCGCATCGTGCTAAGCGTTAGGAATTCGCTCGCCACCTCATCTCTGATTACCCTTCATGGGTTCGCAGGTTCAAATCTCATGTGGGGATGATCATGTGCGAGAGGATTGCTGGACTCCTCTCCGCCGTAGGGTGGTTCACTTAACCGCTGGTCGGTTACGGCTTCCACCACCATCAAGTCATGCTTCCAAAAATAAATAACTGGCTAACTAATCCCATACCAGACCTGGACTGGTAACCGGACCAGAGGCCGTGGTTCGCTGCCATATAATTAAGCTGTCTTATCGGCTTTCCTCTCCTCCGGAATAAATATGTAAATCCTATCCTATATCAACTTGATCAAAAAATCATACGAAATTCAATATAACCCCTGAAAAATGAAACCCAGATCCTATGGAACATATACTAGAAGAAATTTTTTTGCAAAGCATTTAGATTTACTAAAACTTTTGGGTATAAAAAAAATTCTGTGTTGAATAACTTTTAATTTCTCACTACACCAGTGGTCACTTGAAAACATTCCACTAAAAATAATCAATTATAATCATATAGGGTCAAAAATGCATTCGCATCTTCGATATTCTTTTCAAATCCCAGACATCATATTTAGCTCAATAATTTGAACATGAATAATCACAGCATAATCTTTAAATAGAACAGTCTTTAACATAATAAGCATATTTAGTTAACTAGAAATTTAAACATTGGCTAAAAAATAGGATCAGAAGTTAACTTAATCAATTTAAATTGAATATAAAAAAGATGAATCCACCTTGAAAGAACAAACAGAAATGGGATTTGAACAAGATGAAATATCATCAAACTGACCAATGCCTCCACTAACATAATTAGGAAAGTCACTTAATACAGTTCCCCATGAATCCCCTACATCATCATAGATATACAACTTTCCTGAAACCAACAACATGAGTCTATTGTCAGCAATGAAACTGAAACTTTTGGAATTGATTTCCGTCGGTAGATTAAGTGATTTCCATCTTTCACCATCGAAGCGTTGCATTTTATTGAAAAACGGTGAATTATTATTTACCAAGCCTACAACATAAAATTTATCAATAGAATATGCCACTGAAGTATTCATGGAAGCTTTGGGAGCTTGCCTCACAATTCCCCAACTGTTATTCAATACACTGAAAAGTTTGTACTTTTTAACGGTGTTGATTGCAATAATTTGTTTGTTTGAAGCCCCTGCGATAAATGATTGGTCCAATTCACAACCAGGTAATGTTTCATCCCACTCATTTGTGATTGGATCATAAATAGAAAGCCTGTCCTTTTCAACAACATAGATATGTTTATTAGTTGCCACAATTCTTGCTTTTTCATCAGGTAAATGCTGCATAGCTTCCCTTTTTATCCATTTCAACCGATTAGTATTAAAGTACATTAACATCCTATCAACAATAACACAGAGTTTATTATTGAAAGCAAACATTTCGAAAAAGGTCATTTCAGAAAGGTCAATGGCAGGTAGGGGTTTCCATGATTTCTCTTTCAACTCCATAGCAAATATTTTACCATCAGGGTAGAGAACAGCCATATATGTCGCATCCTCTGACTGTAATATCTGAGAACTGACAGCATCAATGAAAATCTTGACACATTCTGGATTTTCAGTTAAAAGAGTTTCATTTCTAACTGAAGTTTCTAGGAAGCTTTTATCCAAGCGGTCAAATCGAATTGCTTCCATTAGTTTCGGAAATAAAGTTCTTCTGATTGGATCATTTTTGCACCACTTGACAGCAATCTTCCAGAACATTTCTTCATCACAAAGGCATGAAGTGTCATGATCCAAAAACGCGGCAAAGAACTCATCTTCTGTCAAAGACAATGACGCATCATCTTTGAATAATTGTACAATGTTCATCTTCAAAAAATCATCAATGATTTTTCTAGCTTGCTTAGTTATATCTTGATAAGCAATACTCAAACTTCTGATAACAAAGAAATTATCAACGCTAAGAAAAAGCTTCAACTCATCCAAATCTGAGAAAACATGCCGAAAAAGAAGTTTCTTGCAAGGCTTTGAACCCAAGAAGATCAGTTCTGACCAAAATTTCTTCAGTAGCTCTGCTGAAGGAGAAGATTCCCAATCTAATAGTTTTACAAATTCTAGAATATCTTTGCTTCGATCTTCAACATTAAGTTTGATCCAATTTATTATAACTTCCCAGGCCAATTCATTTCTCAAACGAAAATCAGAAATACGTTCCACAAGGCCTTCTTTCTCAAGTTCTGCAAAATCTCCAAATTTTTCAAAATTGTAATTTTCTCTGAAAAGTTCCAAAGCTTTTTCCTCAAGATCATTAAAACTATGCGTTCTTGCCAACCTCAACACAGAAATACAATTTTCTGCTTCCAAGTTTTTTTCTAAAACTTCAACGCAATATTCACTGAGAGCAATAAGCTGTATTATTCCAGCTGCAGGCAGAAGAATTTCCACCGTTTCCATGGTAACAGATGTGGAACCAGTATACATAAATTTGATGCATAATTTTACAGCGTCTGGTTCAACTTCCTTCATATCAACAGCTCCCTCTTGTCGTTCTTTAGTGTCGTGAGACAACATGGCTCGGAAATAATCAGAGGCAGCGATAAGAACATTCCGATGAACTGGAAACGATTCCTCACCAACTTTGATCATAAAATCGCAGGCAGTTTCTGTTTTTCGAAGATCGTCTAATGCGGATGAAAGTTTTTCCGAATGATCCATCCCATTTGTTTTAGACTCCATGTAGCGGAATATCTATGACAAGACGTGTAAATTCCGCAATCCTTAGTAACTTGAACTATTCATTGTTTATCATTAGGTAACTATGGAATAAATACTGAGAAAATAATACAAACATGCTTGAATAAATATTGAAATGGAAAAAGTCAGGATTAAAACGAAGGTTAAATTGTAGTGAAAATGCAGTAATTAAGATTTGAAATTCGTAGGGATTGCACATATTTATTATTATAAAATAATAAAACAATTGCCTAATTAAGCAAATCATAAGATACTATTTTTCATATTAATTATGAGGAGAGGAAAGTCAATGAGACGGTACAATCAAATAATAAGCCATTGCAGGTATGGGAATAGCTGTCCAGTCATTATGAAAGCATGGATTCAGCAAAATACAGTTTGTTAGACAGACGAACATTTTGAACTGGAAAATAGACAATAAATGAAATAAAGCACTTCAAGATTTTTTACCCGGAAGCTAAAAGATCAGTCAAATACTATTTCCGGCAATGAATCCAAATTCCCTTTAAAAGCGCAAACAGAATGCGGCTTTAATGACTCGCCCTGCCCCAAAGGAAAGTTACTGTTTGAAAAGTTTGGCATTTCAATTATTGTTTGTATAGAATCTGAATCATCATCATATGAATATAGCATTCCTCCAGCTAAAATAAACAACTTTTCAGAAGTTGAAAAAGAAAAGAGTTTGGAATCCATCTGCACTTGAAACTCTTTCACCAGTTTCCATTCGCATTCTCCCAAACCATAAATTGATTCACAATAACTCATCAAACCTACTCCCCCAGAGTAAGTTCCAATTTCTTTTACCTCCCAATCTTGAATAAAAAAACAGAAAATTTTTACAAATGAACTCCCTTCTTCTGTGTTTAAAGTTACAGCGTAAAAATCACCATGGTAACTAACCACACAACTATTTTCTGTTAATTTCTGAGGTCCAAATATTTCTCCACAAAACTCATCTTTAGCAATATCAAAAAAATCAGACCCATTAGTTGAACTTAAAAGACAAATATGCTGATTCGTCACGGCCGCAAAAAATGATGAATCACAATAAGAGGGAGTTACCGAAGGACTGTTGCAAGAGTATTTCTCTACACCGTCGCAATAGGATATTTTATCATTTTCAATAACATAAATAAATTGATCATTGGTAACAATTTGAGCGGTGGGTTTCGGATGAACAAAATCATCATTGCCTTCAATCCAAAATTCCCCATTTTTGTGTAAATAGTAGATACTGCTTCCTGCTAAAACACACAATTTTTCATGAAAAGAAAATAATGAAAAAAACTCTTGTTTGCTAACATCAGGCAGTACAATAATTTCACCAGTAATTTCAACCACTCTCCAAGTTTTACTTAAAACATCAAGAACATGAATTTTGTTATTTGGATATAAAAAAGCAATATAAGTTTTATCACTAGTTTCTGAACAATCTTGACGAGAAATTTTTTCTAACATGTCATAACATTCAGGTATTTCTTGAAATATTGGTTCACATTTGACGTTCTTTTCGATATAATCATCATACATAAGATCGAATCGAATACATTGCAATAGTATAATAAATGTTTTTTTCCTTTTTTGATCGTGTTTCAACCATTTAATTAAACCTTCCCAGAACAGACTTTCATCACAGAGTGAGAATAATTCATGAAATTCAAACAATGACAACACAACATCATCATTTAGAAACAAGAAGGCTTTTTCTAAAGCAATTTTATGTAAATTTTGTCGCATAAACATATCAATTTCATGTTTAGCATCATCTGTTATGAATTCAATATTGCATTCTGTAACTATTCGTTTTATAATGCAACAATTTTCAATGGTAAGATATAATTCTATCCATCCTTTTCTAAAAAGACATTTAAACAAGTATTCTCTGCAAAGCTCAGAATTTCTGAAAATCCGCTCTGTCCATAATCTTTCAATTAACATTTCAGAAGGAAACAGCTTCCAATCTAATAGTTTTAAAAATTCTAAAATATCTTTGCTTCGTTCTTCAACATTAAGTTTGATCCAATTTATTATAACCTCCCAGGCCAATTCATTTCTCAAACTTAAATCAGAAATACGTTCCACAAGACCTTCTTTCTCAAGTTCTGCAAAATCTCCAAATTCTTCGAAATTTTCTCTGAAAAGTTCCAAAGCTTTTTCCTCAAGATCAGCGAAACTATGCGTTCTTGCCAACTTCAACACAGAAATACAGTTTTCTGCTTTCAGGTTTTTCTCTAAAAATTCAACACAATTTTCACTGAGAGCATTAAGCTGCAATATTCCAGCTGCAGGCAGAAGAATTTCTACTGTTTCCATGGTAACAGTTGTGGCCCGTTTGTAAATGAATTCGATGCATAATTTCACAGCATCTGGTTCAACTTCCTTCATATCAACGACTCCCTCTTGTCGTTCTTTAGTATCGTGAGACAACATGGCTCGGAAATAACCAGAGGCAGCGATAAGTACATCCTGATGAACTGGGAACGTTTCCTCCCCAACTTTAATCATAAAATCGCAGGCAGTTTCTGTTTTTCGAAGATCGTCTGATGCAGATGTAAGTTTTTCCGAACGATTCATTCCATCTGTTCTTGACTCCATCAAAGTTACATTCACTTATAAAAAGTTGAGATTTACATAAGCAATCTTGACAAGTAGAATATTACTTTAGGTAAATATGGGAAGACCATCTTTCATATTTATTCTAGGGAGTGGAAAGTGGACATGACAATGTTGAATATCTCATCTCGTTCCTTGGTATGAATATTAAAAACCTATCCTAAGTATGTGGCAGTCAAGGTCAGTGCTTGTCAACCCTTTTTTCAATGTTACACCCTTTTAACACTTTCTCTAAATCTGGTACACCCCGCCCATCCTACATTTTCAATACATAAAAACTCATTGTTTAGATGTTTATGTCGACGCATTAGTTTATTATTTAATTAATGTGAACGTTGCTCTTGGATTCTATGGGGCATTTGTGTAAAGCGAGATAATAACCGTTTTTGCGGTGCCCCTTCCATTAGAGCAGTGGTTGCCAATTTTTTTACTGTCAACGTACCATTTTTGTAATTTTTACGCCGGCCCGTACCACCAACAAAACTGCCTTTTTAGGGACGGAGAACAATGTCACAAGAACGCGGTATGGAAGTCTTTCAAGGTACCATATCCATTTTCAGACTGCCATGCAAAGTTTCTACATATAAATTATGTGCAGTATCAACGTATTAATTGCATGCCGAATCGCGAGATCTGAAAGGATTTAATTATTGCCGCCACTGCATTGTCACAAACACCGGGCGAATGTATTAGGAGGTATACTTTCGCTTCGACATGTGACATATTTATTAAAAGACTTGATAAATGGCCATAAAACTTAAGATTATGTCTATCAGTCAACACATAGATACCAATAGTATCATCCGTCCGTTTCCGTTTTTCAATGCATCGGGGGACGTAATAGCAAAGCGGGCGAAAACATGCCCGTCTCGCTTCGATTTTGGTGGGCAGTAGCGATCTCTAAAGACAAGGAATTGTAGCACTTCGAACTCGTCCAGCGAATACATACAACGATGAACGAAATAATTTAAAGCTGCCCGGTTGTGAACCACTGCATTAGGCCCACCAAACCTTTATAGTGTCGCGGGCCACTGTCACATGCGAAAAATTATTGCGGGCCGCAAACGTTTTTACCAAACTTGATCACCAGCCAAGACGTCAAAATTGAGTGTTATTTTTGCAGCTTACTTAACACGTGGCCTGAACACGGCACTTCACCTGCGCGTTGCTGAATAAAACGCTTGTACAACACAACGCGCTTGCGGTTTTTTTGACGAACACACAGGAATCTGCACATACTTTTTGATAGCAGAAGACAAATATGTTGAAGTTGAGTGTTATATTTGCGTTATAATATTTTTCAGTTATTAGTTTCCAGTGGCAATGATTGTTTCAATTCCTAAATGAGGATAATGTGCGCCAATGTCACCTAAATTTCAACAACTTTTCAGTAGCACGTTTTGTAAATTTCAAATCCTCAATACAAATTCCTAATAATTTAACATTTCTACGATTTCCCAACGGATATATTAATTTGAATGTGGAGAAATGCCACTAAGTCAATTTTATCAGAATTTTTAACCGATTCGCAGAGACGAAATTTATTGAGTGTTATTTTATTAATCGCTAAATAACATAGACACGACAAAATAATACAACGAACCCCGAAGCCAGTGGCAAAGATATTGTTTACAAAACATAAACAAATCTATGTCCACCAGAGCGCAAGAGCGATAAAAAAATCAACCTTCGGACGTAGATGGCCCAATCACACCAAAATCAAGAAACATGCTTAAGCCCAAACTCATTTAAGAGCGGCCGCAGTAAACAGCCTTGCGACATTCTCTCATATTAGTAGACTATATCGTCTAGTGTCAGAAGCTTCACAGTCTAACAGGAGCACCACTAAAAAGTATCAAACTGCTACAGATGTTATTGTGACGTTAAAATCAGGATACGCAGATATCACAAATGCCAAACATACGCTATGCATAAATTAACATGTATAGGTTAGTTAGATACATATTACCATTGCCCTTAACATAGCGTATTTAATTAGCATATCATGTGTTAGTGTGTATCCTACAACATTCGGTACGGTACACCCTATCGATGTGGTACACCCTTTGAACTTTTTGGTACACTCTGGGGTGTACTATACATCCTGTTGACAAGCACTGGTCTATGTATTGATTGTGGAGGAAGCCGTAACCAACCAATCAGCATTTACATGGACCACCAATATGTGGCGGTCCAGGTATTAATGGTCGAGGAAACCGTAATCATGTTTTGTATTGCTTTACCAGGGAGGGTATTTGGTTGTATTAAAATGATAAACTACCCATTTGAACTTCCCCAGTGAAGACAGGAAACAGAAATAAAATAGCAAGATGTGGGATAGCATACATCATGTTTATACTGGGAGAGAGGAAAGTCGATAAGATGACTTAATCATATGGCAAATCACGGTTTCCTATTTGATTATCAGTCCATGTCAGGTATGGGATTGAGTAAGCAATTTATCAAATGCCAGATGCCAAAGCCTAGCAATTTAGAGATAACTACCACATCTGACTTCAAACACTACTTAGATGGAGCAGGATTAGAATAAATGTAATTTTTCATTTATATCTATGTATTATCACAAGGTTGTTAAAAAGTATTTCATCATGTTTTTTTCTTATATTCTTCTGTCACAAGCTGAGATTTCTCATGTAGTACACTTATGCCTGATGTTTTAAACCACATAATATGGAAGTTAACAACTTCCGTGAATTTTCTTGTCTCCCCGCACCATGAAATGCCATTTTATATTTTACTCAACTCTGAATGCAAAATTGCGTATTTTCAGTAATTGAAAAAGAAACTACTGACTCATCCTGTGTGTTGTAATTTTTCAAAATAAATTATCTATTTCTTTCTGACAAATGGGAAATACCTTGAGAGAAGATGACATTGCTTGAAACAACTATTATATCTATCCCTCAGATTACAGAAGATTTGTCTTTGCCAAAGTGACGCTGTTAATTGATAAATATCCACATTATGACAACTCGTGTAAATCTCGTAATCCGAGAGTAACTCGAACTATTCATTAACTGTAAAACAAAAACTGAAAAAAGAATACAATCATGCTTGAATAACAAATATGGAAGGAAAATGAAGGAATTGCAGTGAAAATACAGCGCTTCGGAAAGTTTACATACATTATTACTATATGAAGTTAGATATAAAAGCAATTGCATGATTATTGAAAACATATCATAGATTTTGCATACTTATTCTGGGGAAAGGAAAGTCAATAAGACGGTTCAATCAAATAATAGGCCATAGCAGGTATGGGAATAGCTGTACAGTCATTCTGAAAGCATAGACACTGCAAAATACATTTTTATTGCATTGAAATAAAGCACTTCATATTATTTAAAAATATGATCAAAAATCAGCAATAAAAATAATTCGTATCTCATATATATTTTTGTGTAATATTTTACAGTGTCCTTAGATATTAGCATTTTAAAATCATTTGAACATAGTCAAATGTATTTCAGTTCCAAAATTATTTCTCGGGATATAGTCAATGCAAGAAGACTATATTGTATGAAGCCATGACTTTTCCAAGAAAAGTTTCAATTTGTCATGAAAGAACAAGTAGAAATTGGCTTCAATGTATCCCAGGTATTCTGTGCTCTAATGCCAGAATATGTTGGCAATTCTTTTCCCCATTTTGTCCAAGAATCACTCATTTCAAGATAAAAATGAAACTTTCCAGATGTTAGTAATACTAGCTTGCCATCGAAAGCAAAAATGAAATCGTTTGCAGAAACAAGAACTGGAGAATTTGCAATATTTTTCCACTCAAAGTTCTCATTCCAGTACCTCACCTCACATCTATTCGGGTATATAACATAAATATTGTTATTGAGCCCGACTGCTGAAATGGTAAGGTCAGATGAACCAAATAAAGAGGTGGAACAACTTAGTTCAGCCGACCAACTTTTCGAAATGAAACTGAATACCTTATAGTTTCTTGACTGCGCATAAAGATGAGTTGCAGTAGAAGCCACAATTGAACTTCCACTGAAACCACATCCAGGATAATTCTCCCTCCATTCATCTGTGGTGTTATCATATATTGACAAAATATTACGTTCAACGACACATATGTATCGATCAGTTGCTGTAACTCTTGCATTTGGGTCAGGCATGTGCTGTAATTTAGAAACCGCAACCCATTTTTTATTATTTTTCGACAAGGATAATATTTTATCTCCCATAAATACACATAATTTGTTTTGAAACGAGAATATTTGGTTCTGATGAGATATTTTTCGACCAATATCTGGCAGAGTTTGATGTACACTCCCTTTGCTATTCAGTACGAATACTTTACCATCTGGATATAAAACGGCTACATGTGATTCTCTTTTAATGAATGAGAGATCGGTAAAGTTTCTGAACAAAACTTCGTAGCACTCTGGGACTTCTCTCAGCAAGGGTTCTCGTTTAATTGAGTCAATGAAATCTTTAGACAAGTTTTCAAAACAGACAGTGCTAACTAATCTTGGAAGGAACTTTCTTCTTATTGAATCATGCTTCACCCAAGTAATGAATGCTTTCCATCGCAAACTTTCTGAGTGGATACAATTTCCACTGCGTTTTTCAAAAACTGACAAAATTGTTTTTTCACTTAAAGATTTGAATTCTTCTTTTTTTGAAATCGGGATTAAATTCACCCTCATAAATGTGTCAATAGCATCCATTGCTTGTTTTGAAAGAAATTCAAATTCAGTTGACAATCGTTCAATTATAAAGCAGTTCGCAACAGTCAACACCCGTCCCAATTTTCTAGAATCCATGAATAAATTACAAAACAAGAACTTCTTGCATTCTTGGGAATCTGTGAAGATCTGTTCTGACCACAAATTCTCCAAAAGTTCTGCTGAAGGAGAAGATTCCCAATCTAATATTTTAACAAGTTCCAGAATATCTTTGCTTCGTTCTTCAACATTAAGTTTGATCCAATTTATTATAACTTCCCAGGCCAATTCATTTCTCAAACTTAAATCAAAAATACGTTCCACAAGATCTTCTTTCTCAAGTTCTGCAAAATCTCCGATTTCTTCAAAATTGTAATTTTCTTTGAAAAGTTCCAAAGCTTTTACTTCAAGATCGGTAAAACTATGCATTCTTGCTAATTTCAACACAGAAATACAATTTTCTGCTTTCAAGTTTTTCTTCAAAATTTCAACGCAATTTTCACTGAGAGCATTAAGCTGCATTATTCCAGCTGCAGGCAGAAGATTTGGCACAGTTTTCATGGTAACAGTTGCGGCACCAGTATACATAAATTCGATGCATAATTTTACAGCGTCTGGTTCAACTTCCTTCATATCAACGACTCCCTCTTGTCTTTCCTTAGTGTCGTGAGACAACATGGCTCGGAAATAATCAGAGGCAGCGATAAGTAAATTCCGATTAACTGGAAACGATTCCTCCCCAACATTGATTGTAAAATCGCTCTCATCTTCTGTTTTTTGAGAGGCTTTTTCTTCCAATTTTGCTCTTTTTGCCTCCATATTTCTAATTTAACTTGCAAGTTTAGGTAACAGTATTGAAGTACCGTAACTGTTTGCGTATATAATTATTATTCAATAAATTATACAGAAATATACAGACCATGCCAGCGGCCGGCCTAGGTCTGCTAACATAACCCTTTAGTACTGTAGTAGGTTCTGGTACCATTCCGAGGCCAGATTTAATGGGAATACAGATATTTATTTTAAATTTCTCCATGATTAGAACAAGTATGAAAAATAATAATATATTATTACAGGCCCAACATTAAATTGGCAGTGGCAACCATTACAAAATTATTAACACTGTATTTGGCAATTAAATTTTCACTTTTTTTTATTATTTTTCTTAGGATGTAATCAACGACTAACATACGGATGTAATTTACAATAAGTTTATAACGTTTTGTTACTTGATAATTTCTTTGTGGTTGTGTGTGTAAAATAATTTTAGGTGAGTGAACACGTACCACTTCTTCTTGGCAAAACCTTCCATCTTATACTCTGTAGATTTTAAACTTTATCTAAGATTTTGTTTTCTATTCTGATTTCATAATCAGTTTTCATTTATTTGTTTTTATCAATCATCTTTTTGCCTGTTGAGCTGATTATGGAGTCGAAATAAACTCATACTTATTCTAAACTTTTTTTTTTTTTTTTTTAATGTTTCCACAATGTGGATTAATCAATAATTAAAGAATAAATAAAATAATCTAAACTTTTTATTTTTCCATATTCAGATCAGGCATGTGCAACACGAATTGAACCGCTTAGAGTCAGATGAAATTTAATTAAACTCAGAAATTTTACAATATCAAATAAATAAGCACTTATTATTATTTTTTTTTTTTTTTTTTTACGTCAGTCCATCAAATAATCAGCTCTGTGGTGCCATCTTGAAATCTACTTCCTGATTCTTGTTTGAATACTTGTTCCGTCGATAATAAAAGTGAATGCATTGTTTGCTTTTCCATATATTCCGTATTCCAATATATTT